ACGCGTGCTCCTCTTTACCTTGAAAATTGCTTCCGGAGGAAATTCCGGGGTGGGTGGTATCTGGCTTGCTGAGGAATAGGCTTTGTAATCTGGGAATTCCAAATCATGAGCAGATTTGAGGCTATGGGTAGTAAGAGTTAATTTGATTTGGGAAACAATGTTTCTTATGACTTTATATCAGGATAATACACCTCCAACCAAATCTATCATTATCAACTGCTATGTTCCTGTGATAGTTCGTAATGTACTCATGAATAATCCTTTCTTCTGCCACTATCCTCTTCTAGCTTCATGGACTGCTCTGTTCTTTAGTGCACCTATTTCAGGAATAAGTTTGATCTTCCAGGATTTTGTTTGTCCTAATCTTCCCTGTATGGATAGGATCTTTCCTTCCTCCTTCATCGTTCTCCTGGAGCAGTTCTTTTCTGGTATATTCAACCTCGTTTCCGTTGTTCTTTTCCCCTCGTACATCCAAATATCCCTCCATATTTTTTGCCTCTGGTGAATTCTTGAAGTTCTAGTGTCCAGGTTTAAGTTCTTACTCCCTCGGCATCTCAATCACCACCAACAACTTTTTCCCGTCATAGCCTTGTCTCCATGAAAAGTTCTTTTCCCTAGGCGTTGACCTCTCTTCCTCCGCTCTTCTCGTCCTACCGTCGACAGTTCTGTTTCTCTTAGCCTCATCCTCGTTCTGAGGTGTCCCTGATAATTAGTCGCTGGGTCTCGTCGCTTATCGCGCCTTCCGAGAAGTGGCGTGTCACTTTGCCAATTAAGCCCGGTGTGACTTGGCTCCCACTCTGTTCATTAGCATGGTCCGAGCACAGTCGTGGCAACCTACCCACCTCTGATATCATTATTACATGCATGCGCAAGTTAATTAGGCGCATGCGCTGATCTAGGACCGTTCTTCAGCACCTACAACCTCGGATGCATGCGCCATGCACTATCTGGCGCCCACTATCCATGGTTAGTTTCATCCTCTTGGAGCAGACTCGCACGACTAGTGTGTTGGCAAGTTCAAGGTACCTTGATGACGAGATGAGTTGACAAGATTTCCGAAACGTGGAGATTTTTAACGTTTTGAATGTACTTCGGTGACTGGACTAGTTGACGGAAATTCTAAAACGTAGAAATTTTGATTCTGTGAAGGTTTTGTGAAGGGGTTTCTTAATTTAACTAAGTATTAAAAAGCTAATTTGAAGAAAAACCTCTTATTCATTCCCGATAGCAAACAAAAAATTATTTTGTCCATCAAAACCCGTCCAATTTACGTGGCTTTAAATGGACTTATTACCACTATCTAAACAGCAACGATTAACAACCGAAAGTGAGATTAGTTTCAAAATAAACTAGCACAAAAAACATTTTCACTGATTAATACCCACAATCCTTCACAATTTTTTCTTCCAGACTCCTATATTGGAAACTTGAAAGGTTTATTGTACATTGCAATAACCTCGAATCACGCGTACATACGACAAACTAGCTACAATAACGCTGCGACAGAGGAAGAATGTGTCTGGCTAGCACATGTGTTAATGTGTCCGGAAATATCTACAGCCGGGAATAGAGAGCCGAGTGAGTGAGAGAGAGCGAGATGAGAGAGAAAGAGAGAGGGAGGGTGTGCCATCTCAGTATGACAGCCTCTGAGATCCACAGCCGCCGCTAGCCGAGTTATATACAAGGAGGTAAACATATGTTGAACTTGCTGTCTGTCCAGTGGAAATCGGTGATATTGTTGTAATTCTAATTTGTACATCCCAGAGATTTGATGATAGCTCTGTTGACCATTACTCTTGAATCTCTCAGTCTCAATAAACTGAGGCTTGGTTAATATAGCAAAGTCGTAAATATGAAATACTAACCACTGAGTCATTAAAAAGTATAATACACTTGTCAGGTAAAATAATAAATTACCCATGTATGAAATCACCGCACTGTCCACTTTAATATTGCAAATGTTTGATTTCCCAGATAAATTAAAGCTACAAAGGAACAAAGGACAAATTACAACAAATCAAAAACAAAACAGCCGCTCCAAGGTAACCATGTGTAAAATAGAAGAAGACAATTTCGAAAAGTAAATAAATTAAAAGAAAAATGTAATTAATTAATTTTAAACACGACACAATTATAATTTATCTGAGCTTTCTTTGATCATATGCACACTGTCCACAGATGATATTGTTCTATACCTACGTGTATATCAGTTACAATTTATACCCATAGAAAGTCGAAATTTGCTCTTGAAGGAGTATGCTCTTGTCTAATTTTTGTGCACAATACGTTATATGTAATTAAATCATTCAGTTTAGCATTGATAATTTGGTATACACTAAAATTGATTTGATAGAAACAGGAAATACCCTCTTAAGCCCCAATAGTATTATGTTCAAAAACTATTTACAGCAAGCATCTTCCAAAATTACATTCGACTGAGCGACACAATCCCGCCTTGATCATGGATGTTTTCGTCAGATAGTGAACAGCACTGCCATCCACCCAAACTAACAGGATGCCGTACACTCATTAAGACATTGTCTTCTAGTTAACCCCGACTGAGATCAATTAGGGGAATTGGTACGGCTCCAAGCCACTCGGAAGTTATGATTGAACATCGCTACAGAGTCGGTGCCAAGAAGGCGCGCGACGACATAGAGTCAGAGGCATAAATAACGGCTAACAACATCGGCGACAGGTACATTACTATATTGCTCTGTGTCTCAGAGTTATGGATCCACCCAACTTTCATCTCCGGTGTTATTTTGTCTCGAGTGACTTTATGAGAAGACTATTGATATTTCCTGATGCTGGGAAATTTGACGGGAATGACGTTGTGATGAGTCAAATGGTAGGAAAAGTGAATACAGTATCTTGGTTTGTACCTCCACCCTTTTATTCCTGTCAGAATTTTATAAATGTCCGCAAGTTGAACTAGGTGGATTTGTCTTGTAGATGTCCTGATGACAACAAGATTTACATCCCAGCGATGTTGCACTACGATTTAATGTCCCTACCTCATATACGGTTTTCATACACATTTAAGGTATTACAACTGGAAAACGTGTGTTTATCGTAGTACGTTGAATAATCAACGTATAAAATTAAATCGGTGAATAATTTGACATTTGTTGGCCTGTATCACAAATCGAGGTGGGATGTCCTCATCTCAGATGCGAGGAGGAAAATTTCACCTTTTACTTCGGTCAAAGAAGTGTAGATTGAAGAAGGCAAATAGATCTTTGAACAACCTGAATTGAACATACGTCCACTGGTATCGCACGACAAAGACGGAAGTTATAGCCCAGACCAGTCCAGGAATCGGGCAAAACCTTGTCCCGTTGTAAAGCAACCTCCTCGATCCTTTCTTGTGAGGAGCCTAGATAGCGGTGAAGATGGGGATGAGAATTGAGCCCTATAAAAACATCAAAGAGGCAAATAAAGGAATCCGGCTCCAATCAGAGAACGGGGGGAACGTTTACGACACAATAAAACTGTTTACAAAATAGTAGTGGAAGTGGGATAGGCTGTAAACGCGGGGGCTACGCTGGCTTTTTGTGACACCAGAAACTCTAAAATGCCTATGAGGTATCACTTCAGAAACCGCTTGATAGAACCGTGATAAATTGTTATACAAAGTTATACATGAATGATGACCACATAACACATCTAAATAGATAGATTTCTTTCTCGGATATTCAACCCAAGTAACTGAAGTACGATGAGGCATTGTGGATTGTTACTGAAATGTTTGTTTTTGACCAGTCTATTGTCCGATTCTGGTGGCTAGCCAGCAACGAAGCATCTGAGTGTCAACTGTTGACTATTTTTATTACCAGCACTCATTTGTTGCTCACCCTTCAAAATCGAGACATATTATTCTCAGTATGTGTATTGTTATTTAAACTATTAACGTCTACAGACACTGTTAAACTGATGCCATCTTTAGCTCACCTAGAAAGCTCAGTAGGCTGGAGGTTTAGTTTATTTCTTCATTTTTATCAAACCGATTATCCATGTAATCAAAAAACGCATTTACTTAATTTTAAATAAAACACGCAAGTAGATCTTGTAGCTGTCCACATCATCTGTAACTACTGTCCTTATTGCACTATTACAAACGCAGTAAACCTCTAGAAGTGCTACAACGGCTACAACTCGCTTTTTATGTTCTACTGCTATTTCCGTACATCCCTCTTCATATTGCCCACATTAAACTCTTTACTATCAGCCCAACTACTCTGTTCCCCTGGCAACTTAACAGAACAAGCACTTGGTATCTCGATATAAGTTTAAGTGAATTTCAGACGTAAAACAGCCATTCACACTAGCTAGACTAGTTAACGCTTTGATTGCACATGCTCGTTTTATGAGTCGCATTTTATTGAGAGACGCGTTCGCGTTACTAACTGGGATCCCCCAAGGCAGCAGTCTCGGTCCGCTCTTGTTTATGCCACAGTTTTGACGTGTTGTCATTAAAACGCCGTCTGGCGAGAAGTTTACAGCTTTGTTGAACATTTTTTCTAACTGCTGTCGTTTCGTGAGACTATTTCATATCTAAATAGTGTACTAAACTTATAAACTACATTGCCGTTTCATGAGGAGATCATGAATGTCTATGGATAGTATTTCATGGATAGTTCATATTTCAATCCTGAACTTTTATAGTAAATTGTGTGTTTTATTTATTTTGTTGAGTTTATTTCATTATCAATAATTATAATGTTATCTAGGATTTAAATTAATATAGTTGTTTAAATACGTCTTAGAGTCTTAAAAGGCTGGGAAAAGATTTACTTATGATATTTCCTATGACCAGTCGCTTGTCTGAGTGCTTTCATAATTTGTGCCATTCCCATTACTCAATTTTTCCACTGAATTTAATAGGACAATGACAATGGAATGAGGAAATACAACCATAACTCAATATGTGAAATTGTGTTTTAGTCTGTAGTCAGTATGTAAAATTACTTGAGGTTAATGTTTGCGTTTTGTTCCAGATTGCCCAGTGCGTCAGGTGAACTCTCATCGTTGTTGTCCAGAAGGGGGGTTCTGCCCCCGCCACCTCACCACCAAGACTACCATCCTGCCTACAGACTCAACCCTTACATGGAACTCTACTCTTCCCTGCAACACGCTAGCCCTCCATCGTCCATACACGGTTAGTACAATTTCCATCCAAGAAAAAGAAGACCATGTCCGAAAACAGTCACAGTAGGGTCTCCAGTAATTGCAGTCTTGCAAATGCCATCCTTAGGCTGTAAAGAAGAGAGTCGTGCCCTAGAATAGTATTAGTGGGCTCACCATTAACCACCGAACATCTGTCCTACCCTGATTGTTTTCATTTTCACTTATCCATCTTCCTCACGATCCTACCTAGCGCTTTGGTGGTAGGTGCTGGGATAGTTGTTTTGTGGTACATAGAAGACCATAGTAGTGGAACATAGAAGTGGGATGAAAGGAAATGAGCTAGAAGGAATATCACATAAGAAATAACCACCTCGTACCTTAGCTACCTCGTATGTCTAGAAAGCAAGAGGTGCTAAAACATGTTACAATTTCTGTGGCACCCCTTTTCATGCAGACTATCACACTTTACTCTTACAAGAAACATTCCTCCTAGAATTGTGTTACTACAATAACCCTCTTCTATCGTTGCTGCACGATTTCTACCGAGATTGTCACAAGCAGACGTCCAGCCAGCATCCAATGTTTCCCTGTAGGGAGTCCGAGATCCGTAATAGCTGGGCGTGTATCAGATGCACAAAGTCCCTGTGGGGGGCGAGAAAGGAACCCGTTAACGCGTAAAAACGTCTCGACTTTTGTTGTATAATTTATCGGCATGAGGCTGGTTGGTTTAGGTGTTGTAAGTAGACGATTCAATTAAACCTGACTTCCCAACTCGTACTTTAGTCTTGGTAGAATCTGTACATTTGCATAAGGGTCAGAGATGTCAACCCGGGTAAAATGTAATATGATTTTCATTCCCTATTAATAAAGCTTTCTATGCGTTATTGTTTGAATATAAGCTCAGAGGCTCCCCACAATCCTTCCAACCCACTTGTAAAAAACCCAGAATCCTTCTAAAGCAAAAGTTTTATACACACATTTGCTAGTCAATATTTTGTTTGTTTGCATGGCCGCGGTGGAATGATTTATTGAAGTAAATTTTCAGAGGCGGACTGAAAAGGTTATTGGGTTGCACCTTTCGAGGAACTGTAAACCTATACCACTCAAAGATTTGACAGAACGAAGTTTGAGAAACGCGTACAAAATTCTTCGTGAAGTATTCATTCTTTGGGATACAATACGTTTTGGGAACAAACTATGTGTTACCCCAAGCGGAATTGGCGTTTTCTCAAATCTGCGTGATCTCAAACACATTGGTGTTATTTCTAAGATAAAACGTGTTTCTCCAAACAAAATTCTCATTACGTTCAACAAATTCTTTTGAATCTCACCCGAAATAATCGATACCTTCAGCTCAATATGCGATCGTAAACAAACTCTGCGTTACTGCGTTTTCCCAAGCAATTGTGTCATTTTGTATTTTTTTCAAGTGGCTGCTTATTCTCTTGCAAAATTTGAGTTTGCCAAAATCTCGTGGGAACAAATTCTAATGTTTATCCCAACATTAACGAGCGTTCATTAAGTTCAAGTGAGGTTTTCTGTTGCCGCCGCTCGCGACTCCCTTATACAATCAGCCTATTGATACAAACCGTCGACAACATTGCCCAGACATCTTCAAAAGCGCCGCAAGCCGCTCCTGCCCCACTAGCTTCCGGTAATCCCAACTACGATACTTCCGGTCCAACAAGGTGCTACTCACGTGCCACTATTTCCTCCCCACAAATTGTCAATTTATGTCTTTGACAGATGAGGGAGGGCGGGATTTCTTCGATTTGATCAAGAATTGGTGTGGTTGATACAATTGACCAATGGATCGTCCTCTTTACATTATCATAACTGACGTGTAATTTCACCTTCATCTAAGTGCCCATTGCTACAACTCAACATTATTGCTAAGAAGCATGGAGAGAGTCAGGAATAAATCGGAATATGATTGAAAATCAGCAAGTTTGGCATATTTATCAAATGAGTTGTTTTCAATACTACAGTTTAAAATTATGATCGATCATAGTAACTAACTAATTTTTCTAACTGTACAATCTCTGTACAAAGGGTTCGCCTCTGTACAAAGTATTTACGTGTCCATAGAGGCGGACAGTGTCCACTGGACAAACTCCACTATACCCACTACAGCTATAATTTGGTTTGTGATTATTTTATTGACAGCAAACATAATTTTAGCAGTTTCAGAAAACTAAATGGTTGCACATTGTTCGCTATATGATAATGTTTTATTTGATACAAGCAAGTAGAATGATTTTTTTTGCTTTGAACTTTAGCTCCTTCGTACATTTTTAACAGTATTACATTCTTAATACATTTTCCACGTACATTATTTGTACTGAAGTACTCTTACACATTATTTTGCACTCAGAATTGTATAACTGCCTACAACCCACAACCCCTTGGGTATTCAATTAAGGAGCGAGTCTGCATAAGAGTTTACGTTGGAAATTATAAGTTTTCATAAGTTAAAAATTATATATAATCGCCAAAACCTTACCTTCAAACAGGTCGATACTCCTTGTACCTATCTTATCTTAACATGCGTTACAGAGTTCATTTTCAAAACCCAAAGCAAAAAAGAACAAATTAAGAAAATAACATTATCGAAAGAATCAACTTCAGAAATAGTCTGCTGAACTATATGTACGCCAATGTTTTGTAGATGGATAGATATCAAGGATTGCAGGAAATCATACCCCCACAGCTTCAGACTGCCCGGATCCCTCCACGTCGACTAATGCGGGTGAATTGTACGTCAAGAGTGTTTGTACGAAGGGGTACCGGAATTTTAGGATCAACTTCCCAAAACTGATATCGCGTTAGAAGAGCTCTCTAGAAAAATGCGGGAACTTTTTCTTCTTCTATTTTCTTGTCTTCATCTTTTAACTTGTAGTCTTTAGTTTGGTCTCTCAACTGGTATCAAATAGTTTTTACCTTTGAATTCATTAAGAAACTCAACAAACATATTGATGATAATTGACAGGTTTCTGAAATCGGAAACCTAAATTTGGTTAGCAAGAATCACGTTGATCGATGTATTTCCTATTCGATTCAATATCATCATTTCAAATAGAAAAATTTTGGAATTTTACATTTTAAACTAATACATTGAAAGATCTTATTTTGGATGGGCTCCGAATCAGGCAAGACAGAATAACACCTTCAACAATCAACTATTGCTGAAGACAGGATTATATGAAACCAAGCACAACTCAAAAACTTCGAAAAATAAATCCTCGAAAGCTTATCGTGTCCGGTGTCAAAATGCCCCACTTACAAGACGAGTAGTGTTTGTAGAAGTCAAACAAACTCGTTGTTTAGCTTCGACACACATCCAAAGACAGCTAGCTCGTGTTTTTGTTGTTTACTGTATCAACTGAAACGTGCCGGAAGTCGGAGGTCTAGTTTCACGATGCTTGCGTCTTCTTGTCGTTTACTTCAATATCAACCACTATGATTACTTGTTCTACTAGAGTTATGTTTGTCACATCTTGAAGAGCAGATTCAGTGGTGGACTTTAGCGCGCCAGAAGATTTCTTGGAGTAATGCAAATTTATGATAGAAGTTCATGGATGAAATTTAAGAACATTTTTCACGAATTGTTTGTTATATCTCAAGACCAATAATGCACTCAAGAAAGTTGTTTTGTTTCGGCGTAAGATGTAACCAGACTTATATGTCACTGTTGTATTTCGGGTGTCATGGAGGAATAAATATCAGCAACGAAGGATTTCTTGCAAAAAGGTTATCTCCTATGAGCTCTGTTAATTGGGTTTGGACATGACTTGGATAGCTTCATTCTATTTTGCATGAGATCATCCACATAAAATCTTCTAACCATCAAATGCTGCTAAAGCTAAAGTAATACAATTATCATGATTTCGATTGCCAATAACATCGATTAGCTCACACACAAACCAAAACATCGGCGTCACACGAATGCCCAAAATTGGACATAACTTGAATAGCTTCATTCTATTTTGCATGAGATCATCCACCTAAAATCTTCTAACCATCAAATGCGGCTAAAGCTAAAGTAATTCAATTATCATTTCGATTGCCAATAACATCGATTAGCTCACACACAAACAAAAACATCGGCGTCACACGAATGCCCAAAATGCTCAAAATTCGCCGTTATTTGGAGCAGGTGCTTTTGATCAAAGCGCACAGCTGAACATTGAGTGCAATTATCACTAATCAATTACCACTAATTGGTCTTAATTAGAGTAACGAGGCCGACTCGTTTGTCGGTCCTTTACATCCATGTGCCAATAGTTGCGAAGATTGCGTGAAAACTAACATGGTAATTGCTGGGTTATTCTCTCGTTCTCTGATAAGACTCAGTATAGTATAGGAAGAAACAACAAATCACTCAATCACTAAAAACTTGTGTTTTGCTGGCTGTTGGTATAGTATAGTAGTTGTAGTTAGGAAGAAACCGCATTTTGTAAGACATCTCTCAGTAGTTTCGAGAACAATTGATCAAAGGCTACCATTCGGTCAAAGACACCAGCTGCTTACACTTCAACTAGAGTACAATTCGCTCATTGCACTTCTTCATGCAGATCAACTGTTCTCCAAAATCCAAAATCCAGCGACAATCTTGGATTATATTTATTTCCTTTTGGTGGTGATGGAAGACATAAATGTAGAGGAACCATTGGCTATAGGCTCAACGTGATCTTCGGCAATTTCTATAGTTGCTAGAGAGTAACATTTGAAATTGTCTCGGTGTGGTAGGGATATTATTTTATATGGTTTTACTGGTGGTAGATGATATGATGAGGTTTCTCCCGAGAGGTTAGGAATTATCTATGGAGGTTTCATTGGTACCGAACGTTCTAGGGAGGTTTTACCGGGTGCTAGGAGACTTTTCGGGGTAAGTTTTGCAGGGTGCTATGTGAAACAGCTGTGGAGGTTTTATCGGGTAAAGGGAATATCTGAATATGTTCATCGTTCGTTGGATGTAATATATGCAGAGGTTTTACCGGTGCTAGTTAGTATTTGAAAGGGCTCATCGAACGCTAGAGAAAGATTCGTTGGAATATTTACTGGGAGCTAAAAACCCTGAAGAGACTTTACCAGGTGCTACAGTATTAATCTGATGAGGTTTCGTTGGCGTGTTTGGAGAGTGTGAGAAAAGTTTCTTTGAGTTAACCCCGTACCAAGAGTGATTCTGCACGTTCCACTGGGTGCTGAAAATATCTGTGAAGGATTTTCCGGGTGTTAAAGGGAAAATCTTCACCAGGTGCCGATAGGATCTCTGAAGGTTGAACCAGCTGACAGGGTAACCATACAAAAGTTGGCGGTCGGTTGAACTCGCGACCCCGAGTACAACCACTTCAATCTTTATCCTGCAATAATAATTCACGAGATAGGACCGGGCAGGGGGCATAAATTGAAACGGAGCCCCGGGTAAGCCGCTAAGCGCATGGCATAATAATTATAGCGGACAGGAGAAGAAGAGAGAGCGCGAGAGAGGAGGGGAGGTCGGTAGAGAAGGATAGAGATAGCCACATGCTACATCATACTGGCGGACATTTTAATTATTATTTCGGTTTAAAACAACCCGTTCATTAAACCGGATAAAGTAATTTCCCGCAGCGGTGGGAGGAGCCCGTACTACCTTTGCTGAAAAGATCGACTCGTCTTTATCGGTCACTACCGAGTTCGATACATCGCACACCGGTTGGGCCGAAAACATATCAATTCGATACTGACATCGCATTCCGATACTACCCGTCGGAAAACGTCCGCCTTCGTACTACCCTTTCTGAATACGCTGGTAACTGATTCGTCGATTATTAATAAGCTATATTGAAACCGATTCGATCAGTTTTCATTATACGTGTTCCGGTTTAATAATTACCGAAGACAACGATCTGGGTATTACACCGGGCTGAAATATTATTTGTGTGTATGGGCTAATTGATTTAAACTCGAGTTGGAATTACTTATTTAGACTACTCCAATTTAAGTGGAAATTAGACGACTTAATGAACGAATGCAGACGTATAACCTCTTGAAAACATGTTATTCTAAACCTCAAATCGTCAATTTTCCTATACCCCTGTTAATTTACTCTTTTATTCTTCTGCAACTTACCTTCAAATTTAACGTTTTTTTACCAACACTAGTGACATTACAGATAATCATTCACTATGACGTTTTAACAGAAACCATATGTGGTCTGGTGTTTGCCTGATTGATATCACGTGTCACTTTTAACGTTCAATTATTGGTGTAGCGGTTTTTATTCAAATTGCGTTAAAAAATGTTTATTGTTATTGTGTTTTCTATATAGCCACCTCCACGGTTATAGTAGTATGTTTTCTGTGCCTCCACGACGATGTAATATTCATTCGCCATTTGTAATAATTTCATGACATAGCATCTTATTTCATAGAGGTTATACTATTTACTACTTTTTACAAGTTAGATAATTGGTCATTTAAAGTAAAGGAGTAAAGGAGTCATTCATCTAGAAATTTCATAAACATTTTTATAGTATAATAGATCTAATTAATTGTGGTTCTGGTTGCAGGTTTGGGGCTGTCAGCTGAGTACTTATCCTCCAGGACTTTGCCTGATCTTCAGCAGCCTCCTTCTACCCTTACCAGTACAGAGTTCCTTCTAAATCCTGATGGTACGTTGAGAAATATAAAATCAAGCTATATCAATCACTGTTAACTATTCAAAACAATTATTTTTACTTTTTAGGATAAATTTCCAGTCCTAAATTCTGTATCACTAACACAATTCATTACACTTACCTATACTCAAATATTTGGGAAAGCTTTCTAGCTACATTTTTTTATGAAGAATTAGCTTTGACCATTGATAAAACTAGAGATTGTATCCCCATGTTCTAGTTGTCCCTAGGTTTTTAATAAAATTTTTAGTTGATGTGAGCCACCAACAGATTGTGCTGATTAAAATTATTTTATGTTGAATACATGAAATGTGTTACCAAGTCAAACTGCTGGCAACTGTTATGACCCATTAAATATATCAGTAACCATAAATAAGGTAGAAAATAGAGTTTTAGACACTAACAAATTGTGTGAATGGCTCATGTTCTTTCTTTTATAAAAAAATTGGGGACAGCAGGTCCATATAGGTCTACCTAACTACTGTATCCAATAGTTAATGGTATTAGATTTAGAAATTAAATAACTTCTTGACCGTTTAGAAATTTTTCAACTGTAAAAGGTTTTTGTTTCTGTTGTATATTTTAATTTAATAGATGCATATTTTTGTAGATTATTAGAGTTATACGTAATAAATGAAAAATGAAATGAAATGAAAGTCGTTTATTTTTTCTGGCAATGTTAGGGCCACCCTTTCTTACACTTAACCTGACATTCAAAAATATAACAAAAATAATGTTACATTGGGATAACTTAATCTAATTAAACATGAAAATATTTAACAATTTAAGTACCGAAATTACTGAGATAAAAGAAGAAAAAACATACAAATTCAACAAATAAAAAAACACATTTACACACTCTCGCATACACGCATCAGCAAATATGCAAAGAAACAGTAGCCCTAGGACACCTCTCAACTTCATTTCTTTTCCAAAAAGTTTTTGAACAATATTTAGCTTTCTTTAGAACAAAGAATTTGAAAATGCTCAGATAAGTTTTTCATCTTGGTTAATTTGTTGTTTTGTTTTGCAGGCCGCCTGGCCAGCCCTCGCCCGGGAAGTGCTCAGCAGTCCCGTAAGCGAGCTCTCTCCGCCTCGCCTTACACTGACTCCATAGACATCAGCTCCATGATCCGCATTTCTCCAAACTCTCTGGTCTCTATCGTCAATGGATCACGGAGCTCCAGTGCCAGTGGCTCTTACGGCCATCTTTCTGTTGGTGAGTGTTTCAATTGACTAGAAACTTATTGCAGCTATGTGGGATAAGTAAACTAAAATCTGTATGAGGGTGCGATGAAGACTGTGAATAAATACACATTGTATGGATGGATAAAGGTTCTGAACATTAAACCCTAACTTATTCATCATCCTCATTGTGCATCAAACTCATTTAATTGTTTCCTATTATTTATTTGTAGGTTTCTTTTCATACCAGTCTTTAAAACGTGTTGAGAGCCTTACACTCTTTAGAGTAAAATATTTCAAGTTTGTTACGTTCATGTTAAAACGAAACATTAAAACAATATGTTTGACAATATTTGAAAAAGCTAATTTCTTTCGAAAAAGTGTTGAATGCAATTGGGTATTCGTATTAATCATTGGTACTCGCCCCTTGCGGTTTACCTTATTCTCAGACTAAATACATGATTTACATCTTTGTTGACTTGCCACAAAAAAAATCATAATGTCCTAATAATAATAATAATGTCATAATGTCATAATGGCTGGGTTTGGAATTCACCCTTCTCAAAGATTTATTCTAGTGTAATTTCACATGTCAGGGTAGTACTACCTCAATTGGTTTGACCCAGATATTACATCGTAAAAAATTAGGACAAAGGTTTTTATGCTAAGAAACCCTTAGCGAACACATGATGGACTAAGGTTAGTTCAGACGGGTTAAGAAATTTGTGGTGAGTTTTTGTGTCGCTACTTCTTAGATCTTCTCGCTTGGTAAGTATCGTCTTACAAACTCCAGTGGACCGTGTAAAGAACCTGCTGTTGCAGCTGTTTTTGTCAGCTTCTGCCCCCCACTTGGTAGTTTTAGATTACTCTCATTAGCATTTATCTGTTAGCGTTTTAAACTGTTGGTGTTTAAAGCTCATTTGAATATTTAAAATTTGTTTCTTGGTAACAGTTTGTCCCAGAGGTACTTTTCACTAGCTACCGAACTATTCTATATAATGTAATTTATTGTAATATAAATTTTACTCTTACTTCCTCTTTTTCTACTCCTAACATTTTTAACTCTTCTTCAGTACAAATCCAAATCATTTAACAGTCATATTTTTCTTCTTCACATGGGCACAAACAGTTTTTATCCAGTACCTAATCTGTGTTTGTTCTACACAATCCTTTTTTAGTTTAGGATGAAATTGTAAATGGAAAACTATTGTTATGTGTGAAAATCACATTAGGAAACAACGCTTACCTAAGCCAGTTAAAAGTGTGTCAAAATGTAATCCTGAATGGAATATTCAACTGCTATATTATGTAGGAAATCTTAGATTCATAATTGTCAGGGTACAAGTAGTAAGCTACCTCCTTCAAAATTGTACCGTAAAACAGTTATCTGTTTCATACTATGTATTCGATACTGATCACCATCATCTCAAGTTGATAAATTTAAAGTCTAAGGGTACTTTGTCTTCTTGCAATTCCACTGGAACAAAGCATCCATTAGCAAATCCCTGGAATTTTTCTCAAACTTGGCTAAATGAAAACTCAATTTTGTTAAAAAAGATTAAAAGTTATCCCAGCAAGATTGTCTACATTTCAACATTTTTGCTGTGTAGGTGCCATCAGTCCCGCTCTGAGCATGCATCCTGGCATGGCCCCGCATATTCAGCAGCTACAAGCCCACTTGCTCCGCTCTGGGGGTTTACTGCCCCCGTTGCACCCCCATCAGCCAGGTCTCTACCATCCTCTTTCCTCCTCTGCCGAACTGCTCACCGCCAAGCAAGAGGTAAGTTCATCAAAATAACATCAAAAGAATTTAGAAATGTTCCAAAGAGTATTTTAAATTAATACTTCACACTGGGGGGGCTTAGTGTTTTCCCCTTTTAACCACAGGGGTTGTTTGTTTTCCCCATCTAACATATCCGAATTATGGACAAATTTGCTTCCAGTTGAGACCCAGACAAGTAGAAAAGTGTCTGATCAATTGTGTGGTTTACAAAGAATCTAACAATTCCATAAACTTCCACCTAAGGTGGCCATAGTCTGTGTAAGGTGGGTCTTTCCCAAAAGCTCGGTGAACTACTCATAATTTGCTCGCCAGACCCGACCGAGATAGGTCTGAGCTGTTTGAGACGAGTCTGAGCTGTTTAAGACCACGATTTGATGCTGTCTCCTGGTTGAGAAGACAATGCCTTGACCATTTCACCTTTGATCAAACATAGGAATCTACTACACTTAAAAGTAGTGGTGAACCCAACGCCCAAGTGTAGTAATTCCAAGCTTGAATCCTATGTCTTTTGGCCATTCAAGCCAAGATTTTGTTTTGTCAAAGTTCATCAGATATAGGAAGATGAGGTGAAAATGGTTATTGCTTTGAACTTGTGTTTGATAATTTGGCAATCATTATACTTTCAGAGATTTTTTACTATTTCTATCATATTGATCAAATTAAAAAATGAAGAGGTACTAACATTTATTGTTTTGTAGGTGACTCACCAATCCTGCAAGAAGCCGGATTGGGTTCGGGCAGAAGCAGACACCAGTGCTGCATGTGGGACGCAACGGAAACCTGCAAAGGTGAAGCGGGAACTCAAGCAAAACTCTCCCGAGTCAGCTGCAGATCTCAAGGATGAACCAGGAGACTTTATCGAGACCAATTGCCATTGGAAGCAGTGCGGATTGGAATTTCCAACTCAGGATTTACTGGTCAAGGTAGGTGTTAGGCTTTGCTTTCCTTAAGGGATCAAAAAATTTAAGTGCCTTTGTGAATTGTCTCTAGATCTCAAATCCAGAGAAGCAGGTCTTGTTGTAAAGGGGTATGTTATTGTAGGTTCCTGAGGATAAGTTTTTCGGTATTTAAACTTTTCAAGAATGGCATTCACCATTCCTTATGGCATAAGTTCATTGTTCTTTCTTAACTTAAAATCCATGTATTAGATATTCTTTTGAACTAAGTTCATCAGGAGACCATTAAATAATTCAATTTTAAATTATTTCAATTCCTACTAAAAATGATTCGTTTTAGAAAGAGATCATGTTCAGCTAGGGTACTTGACAAAACTTGAGTACAGAAAATTACAGAATTATAAGAAACTTCCACTCACTTTTACAAGTCTCAGTATAAAAATTCTTTCGAGGGAATAATGAGGAATGCCACTAAATGTATCTAAATAATATCTGCTGATCAAAACTTCAAACTTCCATATGGTGTGTTTCAACATCTCTGTCATTCAACTTTTTCAGCGAACGAAATCTTAACACTTCTTCACAGCAGCTAATCCTAATCAACATTGCCTCTATTGACTAAGTATGTTTGTTTTCCAGCACATAAACAACGACCACATCCACGCAAACAAAAAGTCATTTGTGTGTCGCTGGGAAAAGTGCTCAAGAGATGAAAAGCCGTTCAAAGCTCAGTACATGTTGGTAGTTCATATGAGGAGGCACACTGGAGAAAAGCCCCATAAATGCACGGTAAGCTATACATTATACTGTTTATTAATACATTTGATTTTAATCCTATACCAAAATCAAAATAAAAAATCTCTATCTCTCTTCTAAGGCTTAGGTTGATTTAATCAGTGGCCAACTGCTATCCTGGCCTCAATCTTCCCAAACACAGCAGCTTGGATGAATTGCGCATTACCTTATCTTACCCTACCCTCTGGCGCTACAGGTAGAAACAGCTGATATTCAAACAATTCCATTAACGTCATTCTCTTGGCCAGCCATTCTAGTGTCATACAAGTGTTATGAGGGAAATGGATTTTCAATTCATATATATTCATAGAAGGTTGATTAAGAAAATGTGTAACTTTATCTTTTTTTTAATTGAAGTTAAAAGAATATTTCATTTCCAGTTTGAGGGTTGTCCAAAGGCGTACTCCAGGCTAGAAAACCTAAAGACTCATCTTCGATCCCACACTGGAGAAAAACCGTACACTTGTGAATATCCAGGGTGCAGTAAAGCCTTCAGCAACGCATCGGACCGTGCCAAGCACCAGAACAGAACTCATTCCAACGAGGTAACATTGATTTGTTATATGAATTTGTAAAATATATAAAACCAATCTTGGATATATGTAAACTTTGATTAAAACGTAAATAGTGAAAGAATTTCACCGTCCTCTAAAAAGTTATTGAGTAACTAGCATTCATTAGTTCCTAAAATAAATATGATAGTTGGGTTTTTCAGGTACATAACATTTTGTATTGAAATGTTTGTTGATACATACATGTTTGTTGTTGGGAATAATAATAGAACTGATCACACCAACAAAGTTTGGTTTCTCAATTTGATTTGAGTACCTGTATTGTAAGAAACAAATGCTTAACCAAATCTTTGCAATGAGAAAGATAGTTTTTGCATTTTATATGTTTATTAGATTTAAGGAACTCAATCCTTCCAAAGACACGGTTATATAATTGTCTTCATCAAACTATTCTGGTTATTCACTAGTCTTTTTTTGTCCTGCTATAACCAATTGTAGTGGATAAGAGAGGGGTGAGTCTATCTGAGTATTAATATATTTAAATTGTGTAAATCATGTTTTCTGTAAGTGTCAGTTACTTTTTTTTCTTACTATTTTATTTTGTTTCTCATCTTAAACTACATACCTTTTTCTTTTTTCAGAATTTATGTTGATGATTAACAGTTTTATTTTGTAATTGTTTATAGTTGTTTGTGAAATATAATTTTAGTCATAAAAATATTTATTACAGTAGTAGCAGGGTGGACATCACAAATTTCCGTTTTGTGTATTTCATAATATCCTCATGATGAGTTATAGGTTAAGATATTAGTACCAAATGAACTTTACCATAAATTTCACTGATTTAGTAAATGTCATGACGGTTAGTAATAAAAATCCTAGAATACTACAGTATTAGTGATGTATAAATTCATAAAGGAACCAAAACAGATTTTACCCGTTCACCATAAATTTCACTGACTTAGTAAATGTCATGACGAATAGTAATAAAAATCCTAGAATACTATTAGTGATGTATAAATTCATAAAGGAACCAAAACAGATTTACCCGTTCACACCTGATATATTTCTTACAAATATCGTTTAGTAAAAAATAACCATAACTTCTAACACAATTATCGTTTTTGCAGAAACCATATGTATGTAAAGCTCCTGGATGTACGAAACGGTACACAGATCCCAGTTCTCTCAGAAAACACGTCAAGACTGTTCACGGTGCAGAGTTCTACGCCAACAAGAAACACAAAGGAGCGGGTGAGGATGACGGAGGAATGGGCGGAGCTTCGCCTTCGCGCAGCGACGAGATGCCACTGAGCGCAAAGACAGCTTCCGTGTCCAGTCCTAGCATCAAGGTATGTCATTGTCATGGCTCGTACTTTGAGTTGCAGGTGTTGATTTTTTTGAAAAAACTCATGAGATCAATCGATTGAAAACCCTTATCAATTTACCAGTACAGGGAACATCATGCATAACTATAGACTGTTACCTTTAACTATATTTAGAACTAGACTTTTCATTCCCTCGTTAGAATTAGCTAACTTAGAATAAGAATAAACATGGTTGATTTACGTAGCCACCCACTTGATGTCAATCGATTTTGAATGTAATTATTCGAATGTCCTAACTTTGAAACCAAGCTAGACTGATAGGACAACATATTGTGCTCTAAAGTATCTTGTATGTCTCATGCCAACTGTCAATGTATAAACAATTTAAGGAGAAAGTAAATTGTTGATTTATTTGAATAAAATATTGGCCACAGTTGGTCCACCTAAATCCACAAAGGTCCAGGTAAAGGTGTTCTTCAATATCCACAAGTACCTACTCCTACTACAAGTGTGTAATTGTAATCTGATAAATATACATATTTCCCATTAGAGAAAAATCCTTGACTTTGCAGCACCTTGAGGAAGAAGACAATGATTCATAACTAACTTACTCCCCTTTACAAAAAGTATTATGTGTTTGATAAATGAGCACTTAGGAGGTAATAATTTACCTTTTCCACCTTCTTTTAAGGGTCTATGAAAGCTTCTTTGTTAGAAAATTGTAAGCTTTATCTGAAAAAAATGGACAAAGTATTGATTCTAAAGTAAATAAAGGCTCTGTACTTCTTCATAGAGTAAAAAATCAAACAACATAGAATTTTATTAAAAATAAACTTAGATTTGGAAGAGCCCAAAGTATTTAACCGAATGATTCTTTTTCACTTGTTACTGTTTTCACACAATTGTCACAATTTTCTGTTTGATCAATGCTAAAGTTGACGATGATTTTGCAGTCTGAAGAGACCAACTCACCCGGTCAGCAGGGCAGTCCTATGAGCATCATCCCTCACTCACAAGGCAGTCCTTTGGGGTTGTCTGCTCACGTTGGATTCTGTGAGGACCCCATCAGTGATAACAACGTCAGTACCTCCTCCAACCACGTCGTGGACGATACTTGGCCTGATGAGAGCCAGGATCTTGATGTGAGTAGATCTAAATTTTGAGATGTTTACAAATTTACAAAGACATCATATGCTAATTTTATAACATTTGGTGATATAGGCTATGTTACTTGTGTTTTTCCCTCAAATCTGCAGTTGTAAAAACTAGTTCTGAACTTGTGTGTCACTGATATGTTGTTGTGTGAACGAATCAAATAAAATCAAAATAGTGTAGGAAAATCTTGCAACCATCTTGAGTTTAATAATTTATCCAGAGTTATTTTTTGTTTACTCAATCAAGGCCCCCTGAGTACAGCTTATAGCTATAAAGTATTCAATTCTTGAACTATGAGTTGTTATAAAGGAGTGAAACGTCTCCTAATTAGAGGGATACCACAGAGTATTGTACTTAACTAATTGTAACCTTATACAATAAATCAAGCAATTTTGCAAGTAAATGAAGATTTTTGAATATTGAAAATACTAATGTGTTTGTGTTGTTTCAGCTCTATGAACTCCCAGCCGAGCTCCAAGCCGTGGTCAGTCTAGCACCTCCACCTCCAGTTCACCGCCACAACAACCTCAAGGCCAAACTGGGAGCCAAGGGGGTTCCACCTTCGACCATGCCTTCCATCCCTCACCAACAGCAACCAGGTAATGCTCGGAACTTTGTTTTGTATTTTGGTTCTTTACTGACAAATCTTTGCAGAAAATTATATCTGTTTCTGAAATGACTTAGTTTGTTAGCTCTTGAAGCCTCCAGGACCCATGAATGAATAAAAAATGTATCCTTCACTTCTCTGATTGGCAATGGGAATAATACCCTTAAGTACTGTAATTTAGTTTAACCTTATCGATATGACAAGTATTCTGTAGAATTACATTGTTAGTTAGGTTTTCGATCATCACCTAATATGGGTGCTGTTGGTATTGGTTGAGGTTTAGTTGCAGAATTGTAGTCTTTGAGATCTGGTTTAGAATTCTGTTAGTAAGGCATTTAGCTTTGTGAAAATAGCTATGGTGTCCAGTGGTTTCTAGCAAACCTGAAGCTATTGGTACACATGTGTACAAAAAGGATAAGTCCCTCAGCTTAGGTAAACTTTCTCTGCTTTGGAAATTCCCTCAATAAAATCCATATGACAATTACTATTTATATTTCATAACAAACGATTTCAGTTACGTTGGTTCTAAGTGTTGGCTTCTGAATTAATAATCAATGGTGGTGACAAAATAGTATCTCATCTTCATCCTAACATATTATGTAGATTTTCTGTATATATTGTAAGTTAAAATTAAGATTAAATCGAAGTAATTGAAACATAGTAAAATATTTATATTCAAGACTCCCTGATTGTTATGCCCAACAAAACCTGTAAACAATATGTTCAATTTGACAGGTATGAGGAGAGGCATTGGCACATTGACGGAGCTGAATCGCAGAATCACAGATCTGAAAATGGCCGGAGGAACAGCGGAAATCCGTCGGGATTCCAACTCTACTGTCAGCACTTACTACGGAAGCATGAAGAGTGCAGACCTCTACAGCAGCAGGCGTAGTAGCCAAGTATCTCAGTGCCAATCCCAGAGGCCTAGCATGTCGTCACTGTACGATCCCATCTCCGTCGGGGGATCATCCAGACGATCTTCCCAGCTGAGCACCAACCTTGTGCTTCAGGTTTGTACCTCATTGTCAGTTTGGTTTTTGTATTTTGAAACTGTTATGCCCATAAGGTTTACCAGAGTATGTAGCAAGGGAAAAGAGGGGAAATCAAAACAGTGAATGAATAAAAGCAGGGGTCAAGATTTTAACTATACAGGAAGTACTGCTGGTAATTGGTAGCCCAAAGTTTCTTTTTCTTACAGCAACATGTTAAAATGGATTTAAATTCTGTATAATCGTTTAAAACTAAAATTGAATGCAGCATTTCAATTTCATTGGAAGTATTCAGTATATTCACTACAGTACTCTTGCAGTTGAGGTTAACGAAATAGAGAATGTGACAGTAACAAACTCAAGAATATTTTTTTAATGCTTTAACCATCGAGTGTTTTTTCAAAGATTTTATTGTATAGACTAACAGTTTGAAAACATATCAATTTTTTTGGACATTGCATTTGGAAACCGCATTGCATTTTAACCTTACAGATAAAATTTATTTTCCAAGGTACTTAACATCGACTTAGATGGTTTCCCTTAAATCTAGAACCTGTAGTTTTTTTTAATTAACCAGGACTCCGCCCCAGGATGATTTACATGATTTCTCTAAACATTTCAGATGAAAAAAAAAATTTCTCTAATCATTGAATTATGCATACTGTGTACCCTACTTTAGTATGCCTCCTGTACATTCAGCATTTTTACATGTGGCAGCTCAACAGTTTCATCCTTTTACAAGAAGTGACAACTAAATTTTCTCACCGTTCTTTATCTGATTGGTCCGTGACTTTACAGCCTCAGAATGTCAACTGGAGCACAATTCCCAGTGGATCAACGACGACTCAAGAGAAGTCAGAGAGCAGAAGAATGTCAGAGCCTTGTCAAGCGACACCTCCCGTTCAGACACCTCCGCCTCGGCCACGGTCTGCTCACCCTCCATCACCTCGCCCCATCCTCCACCCCAACCAGGAGGTCACCCTGGACCAGATGGCTGAAGGAGAACTCCTGGAGAACAAGCTTGTGCTGCCAGACGACATGGTCATTTACCTCAATCATCTTCAGGTAAGACTTCAAACATTTTAAGGAAGGTAAAGGGGCTTTGTTGTAGCTTGATGATGACATTGATCTTCTCTTCATAATTGAGTTTGTCTAAAATAATTTCAAAGGGGTTATCAGATGTAAAAAAGCACTTTTCAATAAGTTTGAGGAGCAGATAATCTTTGCTTTCGTAAGTCCATCATAAAATTTCAGGTGACTAATTGGTTTAATTATTTTGATGAATAGTTAGTTGTCCTTTAAGTTGAATGTATGTTGAATTTCACAATATTTTTTCATTTGGGCGAAGTTACAAAGCAAAGGAATTCCTAATTCAATCTTGGACAGTATTTAATTCTAAACATATGTTATCACATAAAAGAGAATTAATCTAGGTTTTAACACCCAATTTTCTCTATAAAACAATATTTTTTATCCTTCCAAATTAAACTATGCTAAACCAGTCAGCACAACATGATACCAAGTCTTAAAGTTCATTTCAAATATTTACATAAAATGTAAATTTGGAACCATAAATTTCTCAACAGTAACAGTATCATATATAGTTCATATGAATCCAATCCCCTGATACTTCTACTCACAAATTGAATTTACTTACAGGTGGCAGAGAACAGCAATCAGTCTGGCAACGGAATGTTTGACAATTCTATGGCTGGAGGTCAAAGTCCCCACCATGTTCCCCTTCAGCGGTTGAGCCCGATGATACCAAGCCCCGGACTTCCTGGTAACCCCAACCAGGGCTACAACCAGAGGCCTTACCCTCCATCCCCTCGGGCTGGCATGCAGCCATGCAATCAGAGAGTCATGCAGCCTAACATGTCCCCAGCTAGAGTTCCCCAACTACCCAGTCCACATGCTCTGCCTCAGGTAATGAATCTATCTTCTTCTAAACGTCAACAACAATCCCTTAAATGGCTTAATTTATATTATTTTGAATCTTATAATTCTATGCCACCATGAAAAATCACAGTTTTGGTTGTCTTCAAGTATTTTGACTGTATATTTTTGCATACCTTGAACTGTCTGTTGTCCATGTAATCTGTAATGTGATTATATCTTTAGCCGATATGGACTGTCTGAAATACTAATACTAAAATCAAACCATGTGATGATTAGTTAATTTATTTATAAGAGCAAGATGATTTTATTTACATTTGGCCCTTTGGTTTGTATGTAAATTTAAAAAATGTCTGAACAACCAAACAACCGCATTAGTAAGTTTTTCTTTTTTATTTCCAAGCAACAAGTGGTCGGCTATAAATAACAATTTGTATTCCATCATAAGTGGGTTTTCTTAGAATGAAAATAAGTCATGTTGGTTTTTAAAGATATCCTACAGCTCATTTGACAATTTTAAAACAAGATAGGACTGGATTTTGTATTTTTTCTATCCATCCACAAAATGTCCTCAGTTGTGTGACATATTTTCAAACATTATAACCATTGATTTGTCATGACCTACAAGATTTACTGACTGTGTCATATGTTACAGATGAGCCCAAACCCCATGAACCACCAGATGACTCAGATGAACCACAACCATCAACACATGAACCAAATGTGTCCTTCCAACTACAACCAGAACCAACGGTTGGGTCACATGATGAGTCCGACCTCGTGCTGCACGAGTTACAACCAGAACATGAGTCTGGAGCAACCATTGACATCTCCTGCCGCAGCGACAACCGCGCCGATGCAACCAGTATTCCAACCACATCAGGCGAGACATTGCAACTGCAGCAACCAAATGTGCAACCAGCATTTCCAACAACAGGTTCATCACCATCAACACCCTTGTCACCATCATCATCAACAGCAGATGCCTCATCATCAGATGATGTGCGGGAATCATCAGGGGTGCAGTTGTGTGTCTCAGTGCTCCATGTCGCAGCATTGTGGCGTTGGACCGCAGCAATTCTGCAGCCCTCCGCAGATCAACCAGAACATGTTCAACCCGATTGCTCCAGAGAAAGAAGAAATCCAATGTGGAGTCGTCAGTCAATCTTCTAACAACATGAGGCAGGCTGCGTATCAACGAACCCTGGAGTACGTAGAGCAATGTCAATCCTGGGCTGTATCTAGCTCGACTCATCCGCCATCCTCCAACATGGTCATCAACGACATGAGCTCTTCACTGAACTCTCTCATGGAAGAAAACAAATACTTCCAGATGATTCAGTAGTTCTCAAACCTAATCGCCATAAATTTTGAAAGTCCTCGTTTCTATATTAAAAATATATGATTAATTGTTAAAGTAAATTATATAACTGTATATTAAATACTGTTTACAAAGTGTAAATATATAGATAATTGTTAATTTTATTGTATCAGTTTAAGATTTTCTTGACTTCCGAGACATTTAAGACGTAACTGCCATAAAACTATGACTCCAATATCACTACCTCATTTAATACTGTTTCGCTGACAAACTATAATGATGTGTTAAAGAAATAAAAGTAAGTTAAACCAAGCTGAAACTGAAAATGTAAGTAAAATGAACCGATGATGTTCAAAATCATCCTTTTGAAAATTAAGTTTTTATTGTTATAAATTATATATTTTATAATACCTACTGTGTATCAAAATTAGTCACGTTGAATTAGATTTGAATTATATTTTAATTATATAGAATTATATATAGGTAGGTGTTGAACTACAAACTATTGAAGCATCATCAGAAGCTTACGATGTAGAAATGCCGGTCATGTTACGATCCAGGATAGAAATTATTCAATCTATTGTTGTTTTACAGTTATTGTCAATTTCTGTTCAAAATCCTAATTATTTTTTCAATCATAAATTAAAGATCATTCTTAGTGAATTTTAAGTTGCTCTACAATGATTTATGCTTGTAAACAAAAGCCCAGAATATTTTTGACTGGTTACATAAAAGTTTACAGGGAAGGCATTAAATGCTATTGTCCACATATTCAACTAATTCATATCAATATTGAAAAATGTATCAAGTTTTACCTACATCAATTATTTTAGAAAAAAATATTCAAATGCATAATTTTATGTAGAACAATCATTATTAACATCTAGTGACATACATATAGGCATTTTATATATTTATTTCATCATAGTTTTATGTGAATTTCCATTGTTCTGAAATAGGAACATTTTCCTGTGGTTACAAAAAAATTAAAATCAATATTGATCTCGGGGAAACCTTCGAAGCAGCAAGCTGTTTTCAATTGTATATAATATTTTATCTTTGTAAATGCTTTATGTTAAATTGTGATACGCAGAATGTGCTCTTGACTATTTCTGTTTTAAGGTGCCCAATTTTGAAGAATCTCGATGATTTGTTTCTATTTATTGCCATCAAAGCACATTTTGTAAATATTGTAAAGTGTTATAATAGTGTTAATATTGTCAGTATTATGACATAGTTTTAGCGATTATAATAAATGTGTCATAGATATTTGTTATTCTAATTTTGATCGTATTTTCATCTGTGTTTCATAAATACACATTCACAATCTAATTTTTGTTATCCTTTAACCTGTCTATGGAAACAACTAACATAAAGTTAATAAATGTGTTTTAGGGAGAGAATTTTGGATTCCAATAACTTTAAATGCTTTGTCATAAGTTAAATCATGAGAAACTACCACTGTAAACAATTTTAGATTCATATTTATAAGTCAGTTTCATTTTCAAATATATTGATAACATGGGCGTTTTAAATTGCCAAAGTTTCAGACTACTTTATCAAATTATAAATTGTAAAATGATAAGGAACCATCACTAGAAATAACCTTTTACAGGATGAGTTATTGTAATTGTTTTACAATGGGTAAACTTAATGTTTTTATAGTGATAGGTCTTAAAGTTTAAATTTATATGAGAAAAAGCTGTGTTAAAAATAATAAATAAGGAGCGACGAAAGAAAATTTGTTTATAAAATTGATTAGAAAAAGGAGTAGAGAGGTATTAATCCTTGTAAGTAGGTATTTAAAGGGAATTTAAAGTAAAAATACACTTTGGATATTTCTGTTGCAGCAATTGCATGTCTTAGTTTGCTCATCAAATCAGAAAGTTTGTGAAGTTTCGTAAGTAAGCCTTGTCTTTGAGCTAGCTCTACAATCATAATCCGTTTCCAATCACCTTACAGGTCAAACTATTTGGGTTTTGTAGAACATAAATAAACACTTGTTTCACCTTCTCTAGTGAACATATAGACCTAGTACTAGGCTTACCAGTGGTTTCACTTTCCCGGGTTAGGGACGGGAAATTCTGTTACTTTGCATAGTCAGTAACGATCCTTAGCTTTTCAGTAATAGGTGAAGTAATACTATAACTTTTGTCACGGATAACTTCCACCGCAAGTACGTTACACCCGGTCACTGTTTATAGGAAGACACGATCAGATTACACTTGCTCCTTCTAACAGTTCAGATGACGTTACAAAAATAGTTGTACCCTCATAATTTATTACCAAGGTACTATTATTTCGTGAAGCTCGCTGTTAATAGAAGCCGCAATCAGCGGGATAGTTATTTCATTCATTCTTTTAAACAATTCAGAGGGGACTACTAAAATAATAGGGCATTCATTCTCAGTAATCTACTGGTTGTCCCAGAAAGGAATACACTTTTAAGTTGAAGAAACCCGAAAAATGGCTTTATTTATACAGAAATGTTCACAAGAATACCTGTTTGTACACTTCAGGGAAATTACTTGTGATGTAGGCATTCAGATGTAGGCCCCTCTGGCGCTGGCACTTCACCAAACGAAACGTTACATCTGCGATTGCTCGATGGCAGGCTTCTGGTGGAATGGCTTAAATTTCCTCACGGATATTTAGCTTTAGGTGATCGAGGGTAGCAGGAGCGTTGTTGTACACCCGACTTTTTAGATACCCCCACCAAAAAAGTCTAGTGGAGTTAGGTCTGGGCTTCTCGGAGGAAAGTTGATGTCACCAAATCTGGAAATGACTTTCCCACGAAACAGCTGCCTTATTGAAGTCTTGGAGTCTCCTGCTGTATGATACGTAGTTCCATCCTGTTGAAACCACAATGCCTGTACTAACTGAATTTTGTACGGGTGTACCTTCAAATCTTGTTTTGTCAAATCAAAAATGTGGTGAATAATGGTTCAGGGATTCAAAGCAGCAGCGTGTTTTCTTACTGATTGATGCGGATTATCCTCCATAGCGTCTTCGAACACGCTCGATATTTTACTCAGAACGCACTTCACTGTGGCAACCGGTGGGACAAGGGTTCATAATTGATTTTGTAGCTTAAAATTTGCGCAACCAGCATTTAATTATGTTCAATGATGACGTCTGATGAGGGTAGTGACGTCGAACTGTCACATAAGAAAGTGTTTGGTAATAGTGGCGTACACAGAAAGCACACTGCTTACTGGTAAAGCGACCGATGGCAAATGATTTTCAAAGGGCATAGCTACAAAGCCCTGACAAGCTCCTAATCTTATCTTCCTTGGAAATTTGGCTTTCTCCAAAATAAAAGTGCATTCCTTTCTGGGACACCCAGTATTATCTGGGTATTAAGTGATACTTTAGTAATAGGGTTATTTATCCTATTGCATTGATTTACGCCCACCAAGAACGATTTCTGAAATTATTCACCCACATTTACATAGAATCCCTACAAGTAACATGGAAACTATTACATTATAACTTCAAGTAGCAATCATAAACTCACTGAAGAAACATTCAATAAAAAATGTTCAATGTCAAACCGTTTGCTGCTCAGTCATTGAGATGGCATCAGCTAAGTTTTAAATTATTGCAACAAGCAATAATCTAAACATAAAAACAACAGAAAAACAGCTGTTTAAAGCTGTTAGGGTTATATAGACCAACATTTACATTTAATGTGCAAAATGTTGTGTATATTAAAGAAAATTAATTACAAATTTTAAAAATTGAAAATGATGATAGTAGTTTATATAACATTATGGGTTCCCACAGACCTGGAAAGTCAGGGAAGGTCAGGGTAAGTCAGGGAAATAGATATAGAGCAGGGAAAGTTTTTAAAAAAGGCCAAAAGTCAGGGGAAATTTTAAAAAGTAAAGTAAAGCCAAGGAAATTTACTAAAAACTTTTAAAGATCACGTTAATCCTGTGGATGATTAGTTACGTTCCAATGAGATAGTGCTGAAAAGATTACTAAAGTTCTGAAAAATCCATGGTGTATGTAATTTTTATTACAAATTTTGGGTTTTATTTTGAGCTGTAAGTATTCAGAATTTGATTTCTCATTTAGTATTGTATTAAATATACCCGCCGCAGCAATCATGCATTCTAAACAAATTTTCATTTAGCTTACCTGGCTGGATTTCTACAAAAAAACATTCCCTTAAAATTTTTCAGATTTATTTCCTTTTGAAATAACATTAATTTTAATAAGTAGGCTAAGTTGGTTTTCTGGCTACAGGGAATGTAATAAGGAGTGTTTATTATTTAAATCTTGATAGCTTAGTGTGAAATAAACAAATTCGAAAAAAACAAAAAGCAAATCGTTCCCGGGTCTAGGTCTTACCATGACACCTGCAGTAATAGCTTATTCCCTTTGTGGGAAATCTGCTAAAAGGAGGTGTACGGGATAGGCTGTATTAAATAAAAAAAAAGATGTTTTTAAGCGATAAATACTTAACTTATATCTAAATATTAAGAAAACTGACAATGACAATACCTAAAATATACCGTGGTCAGGGACATTAACAGAAAACGGCCAGGGAAAGTCAGGGAATTCACTTAAGATATTTTTGTGGGAACCCTGTATAAATCAATACAAATATATTTTGGATGATCGACATTATTTGTGTTATTTTAAAATGTAATCACTTCTGAGCTGTAAATTTTATAGATAATGGTGTCATTTTCCTTGGATTAAAATATTTTATATTTTATCAAAATATTTTGTGCCATTGAAAGATCTGAGTTTATTGTTATTCTAGAATGTTACAGGGTAAAAATAAAAAATAAGGTCCAGTACACTTGGATATAACGTTGTTCAGAACCTAGCAACCAAATGCCAAAATAATCAGATCATTAATTGTCTCTTGCTCTGAACAAAACTATACCACTTTCTTGATTTCAGGACACCTGAACATCCTACAAAAGCTCTAACCTTTGGGAATTTATGTACTGATTTAAAATGCACTCTCAAAAATTACAATCACATTTATTACAAAAAATATTTCATCAGACAACACAAGACAGAAAATTGGTAACAGTTATGAATTTATGTTACGTTAAGCGTTCTTTCTGATTTTCTGCTTTTGATCTGAAGAAACACAGGTACACAGGAACAACCTGGAAACAAATGGAAAATTTAAATAATATTTAATAATCAATAATATTTGATTTCAGAAAGTGATTCCCGTTTCTTAGCTTGGAAACGGGATTTATGTGAACAATAGCAATTTTACTGTTGGTGTATATTCCTAAAAAATGTGAAATACTTGTTTCAAGGAATGATTGTGACCAAGTAATGTTAATGAGTCAGAGGGTGACTTAGAAACAAAATCAGCAACTGTAAAAAGGTGTATATTTAATTTAAAACTGAAAAACCCACTTGACTTAAACCAATATGTTTTGTATTTTGACATGATTTTCTAACAAATTAATAAGAAAATAAAACTAGAACTAAATTATTTCTTTGCTACCAATTACTCAAAGTGAAATTAAATAATGTCTAACATCATATATATCATAACCTTTCTGTGTTTCCTGTTCTCCAGATAATAAAAAAAAAAACTAATTCTAACTCTTTGTTTCAGACGATGTGACCAGTGTACATTTCTTGATGCGCTAAGGACTAACAAATCTTTTTCAATCAAGAATTCACTTAATAAATTAAAATAGAGGATAGAAATATACCAATTCATATTTAATTACTTACAAAGAAGGATTCCAGAGATTAGACGAAACAATAAGAGGCACTGAGTGTCAATGAGAAGACTAAACAAATAGGATCCTGTGATTGAGCCAATCCTTCCACAGATCATAGTCAAAGATACAGCCATCGCTCTGTTAGTCAAAAATGAGGATTAATGATTTGATGACTTATTAATTATTAGTTAAATCACTAACAAAAAAATAACATTGATAAAATGTATGTGAGTTGGTCGCTTAGTTGGTAGCGTGGAAAACTATGAATCCTGGACAGCAATGTTGTTGGTTTGCGTTAAGGGCCAACACAAAATGTATCAATATTTCATGGACTGTATTGACTTGCCTCTTGCTTTGATAGATACGTTCCATGTTTTTCTTTGCTTTATATCGTCTAAAAACAGGCCTTTGAGGCTAATGCAAGGTTCAAATAATTTTAAGTATTTAAAGGGGGCAGAATTTTATTTGCTATCTATATTGGTGACTCACCCCAAATGACTTAAACCAAAGTGGGCAAATTTTATTGGTGATATTGCATTTTGATTAGCCCATCAAGTAGTTTTCAAGGAAGGAATTTGAGGTGAAACATGACTTTGGTGAAAGAGGTGTTTTATTAAAAGTTGGTAATAATATTCTAGATCTCATTTTAAGATACAAAATTTATCATATTTATCAAGGAAATTGACAGGAAAGCAGGCTTACCTTTAAATAAGTCCATAGAGACACATAAAATATACAACACATAAGTAGAAATTTTCCACTGGAGAAATGGCAATTATTTTATGTGTCTCTGTGGACTTATTTAAAGGTAAGCCTGCTTTTGTCTCAATTTCCTTAATAATTCCTGGCAAATGCCCTATCTTTTTATCAGATAAAATTTATTAGATGTGTGTTTGAGGAGTTTAAAGTTACCTACAGCATGTTCCTGTTTGTTTCTCAAACCATTTGTAACATTTTTTACACATTAATTGAAGCAAGATCATTAAAAATGTTATTTCTTTTACCTACTATTACCTTCTCATTCCAATGACAAACAACAAGTAGTGATATAAGAAGGATCGTGTTTTCCTAGGAGCTATGCTCCAATGTGTATTTCTAAGTTACTCTAAAGGAATAAAGGTGAGGAGTTGTTTTTTCTTTCTATATCATAGAATACAGAACAATATATTCAAAAGAAAATCTCACCTGATGTAAGTTGGGAATACTTCAATGAGAATGTCAGTGATGACATTAAATGAAACTCCGATAAAGATTGGAAGGGTTCCAAACAAGATGATGATGATGGATGCATCAGCAATCAGGGTAATAAGTAGAGCCATGGCACTTCCAGAAACCATAACAGCCACTGAAACAACCAACAATCAGGATAGTAAGTAGATCCATGGCACTTCCAGATACCAACAGCCACTGAATTACAACCAACTATTGATTAAAATAATGCAGCGATTTAAAGTAGAAAAAACTTTTGCTAACTGTACCAAGGAAAATCTAGGATCTTGAGCGGAACAATGCTCCTACCCACATACTCTTTTTACTCCCCTCTTCCAAAAACAAACTGTGTGCTCAGCATGTGTATGTGTTTTTTACTGATATGAGGTGTGTGTGTGGATTTAAATATTGTTTAACTACTGATCCATAATTAAAAGTCCTTGAATGTGTAGGATTGCTGATGTTATGGTTAAAATCTGAGGCTTCAGAGCAAGAGAAACAAATTTGATCCTTTAGAAACTTTCTAAAAACTTTAGGGGTTGGGAACACCCTTAACCTGTCAAGTACATTCTGTTCTGGTGGAAAAAACTAACTAAAACGTTTGCTAACAAGATAAGAATGTTCCCTCTGAGTCCTACTTCTCTACGAGTGACATAATAAATTCTTTGAAAACTTACCAATGACAGCCCTTCGATCGACCAGAGGAACCACCACACTGGCCAAGAGCATGATGATTGGCTGAGCGATAGATATCAGGAGATTGGGGATAAACACAGCAGAGCTGATGGTACCGTCGCACTCCACCTCTGATTGGGCTGTTTGATTGTCAAAGAAGAGGGTCATGTTACGACTCATCATGTCGCACAGGTAGAACTTTCCTTCGTTGTTACTCTTATACGAAGCCATTCGATTGGTGACTTCTGGAAGCCAGATGAAAATGGAGTTTACGCTGCAATCAGTCAGATCAAGCGTGAATCAGCACTGAGATAGAAAGTTGGATGAGGACTAAATGGTTATGAGTGGAGGTATCAACTTCATGTGATAGAAGATAGTGCAAGATAGGATGAAAATTACTTTCTTAAAGGGGTTGGGAGCCTCCTTTAACCTTCCCTTTCTTCGACTATACAGTACATGGAAACTATTAAACAAAGCAAAGGATGTTAAGGGACAGTAAACAATTATGTGTACTGATAAATATTCGTGGTGGTACCAATTCACCAATGACTTCTCTGTCGTGATTTTGTAGCCCATCATGTTAACGACTAAACCACCGTATCTTCATGGATTACAAGTACTAGAGTTCATTAAATGTTAGATGTAAAATGGGGAAGTAGCTCAATCAAATATGGTCGTCAGACCCTACTTAACATTGCTAAAACACTTAAATCATTCTCAGCTTTACCACTGAGTATGCCACATTGTAGCATTATTGTAAATAATGTAAATAGTGTGAATACCAATTAGACATGGTTCTCAGCGGAAGGCCCGCTTAAACAAATTGAAAATCACTGAGCATTTTCTTTTCATTAATCATAATCCTATTTCTTGTCAGTTACCTAAATTATTTTAAGTATTTATAAGTAACGTTAAATAAGTTGTATTCCAACCTACCACAAGAATGACACAGACACCATTATTATACACAACATGAGGTTTTTCACATATGGAGGTCGAAACAACGGAAATGTTTGATCTGCGATGTGATTCAGCAAACTGGATACTCCCTTTTGTTTCTGCATTTTTGGAGCACGATCTTCAGAGTCTGCTGAGACTGATTTCACCTAGAAGACAAACAGCAATGTGTTATGATGTGTGGAACTTGTCAAGCAAAACAATGGGTAAGCATACAGTACCAAAATGAACAGTGAACTGATGAATATTTAGTGGTTGATATAAACACATGAATCTATGTCTATCACGACTCTGACTGGAGCCACACACTCAAAACAACTTAAAGAAATCCTACTCCTGATTTTAGTTGCGGAAAACTATATAACTCACTAAGTTTATAACATTCAATAAGAACCTTGAGAATGCAGAGTAAAAGGATTCATCTTCATTGAAGGATATCCGTTCTTTTAAGGAAGGACCAATTTTGATCCAGATTTTCATTCTCAAATATAATAACTTTGTGACAATCAATTTGGACCGCTTTCCCTTAACCCTCCATAGGGCCCATGTCAGTGGAAAAGACAGAAACATACTATTTCGGTTATTACTGGGAAATGGAAGCAGACCGGGGCACCCCCTTCCAGATACTCCTCAGGATAAGGTTGAGCTATGAAATAGCAGTAGTGGGGAGGTGTTAGATATAAGCTACCCGTCACATTAACAAAAACAGTGCTAGGTCAGTCATTTCCACCGAGGCGCACAAACGCGTGTTTGTATTAAATCGGTCGTTTACACCAATGCGCCTAACTGTGTTGGTGTGTTTTTACATTTTGCGCCATGAACCCTAATGAAGAAAGGGGAATTCAAGCCTAATTCAAGAATCAATCAATGATGTGCTCCAACCATATTATTTTTCTTAATTTATAAATTTGGGGCGATAAAGGCCAATGTTATCTTGAATTATTTCAATGTCGAGGAAAGATTGACCCGAAGGGAGTTTTTTTGGCTTGGGCTCTTTGTGTTGACAATCTAAAGTCAAGAACAGTGATTCAACAGGTCCCTAAAGACTGTAAAGAGACCATCAAGCCATCAAGAAAATCCTTCAAGGGAGAGGGTAAGCCCTGCTAAACGATGCACCACCAGCGTCCAGGCAACCAGCACCAAACATTAAAGGTCGTTGTGGAATTTTGTGGAAACTTCCCAAATTAACATTTTTGGAACCAAGACCTCATGTGCTCGCTCAAAGATGTACATTAGTAGAGATTATAATCAGCCGAATTATGTTGACTGTACTATAATGCTGGAGAACAGAGTAAAGATGATCAAGTGTAAGCTTTATGAATGTAAATACATATTTTGTATTTTCATAACGTAAGATGATGCTGTCTATCTATTAGTATAACTACTTAGAAATCATATAATGTACTTATTTTCCTTAGTTTTATAAATTATCCTTTTTTCCCTCAGAGAAAATTTTGATTTGGTCGAAAAGACCGTAAAAAAAGCACCAAATAATGTTATTTTGGCCGATGCGCCTTCTAGAGTGTTAAAATTGTTTTAACTAAACTAGTTTTGACTTCATTAAAAATTCCACTGGCGTTGAAAAACAAATATGCATGCCACTGGAAATTGCATAATGTAGACAAAATGTTTGATTTTGTTTGATAACATACTTAATATTCTAAGACCTGTAGAATTGTAACCCGTTTTGGTGGGTAAATGGTCATAGTATAGGTTACACCCCTAGTCATCTTCAGTCACAAAAGATATGTAATAATATGACTTGTGTATAAAGTCTATAGCATGTCAATAACGTGACTAGGTTTAGATGGAATTGCTGCTCCTAAGACCATCAAATTAGTTTTGAGAACGGAGCAAATGTTCAGAAACTAGTCAATTTACTGATAGTGGATTGACAACGACAAAAGTTATGTAACCTATGTTAGGGTGATTTAATCATTCTAGGATACTAGTCTCTGACTAGTAACCGTTAAACACACTACTGTACTTTGTTGTGCCAGTAAAAGCCCAATTGTGACTGGCGGGATTTAAACCCAGAACCTTGGGAACTGAAGAACTATGCTCTATCACTAGACCATCTCACTCCCCAGGCTTACAGAGTTGTGGTAGTATCAGATAGTCAGCGTGCTGACGGTCCCCTTCCTTCTGGCTATTGATGGCGGGTTTGCCTGTCAGGGATTAGATAGGTCCCGAGTGTTACTTGCACTAAATGCGTCGGGGCGCTCTACCATGGTCCTCTAGGTCCCGACCTAGTGGAACCCAGGTGGAGTGACGCTTAAACAAGTAGCCGGAAACCCTGGTTAGGATTGAGGGGCAACCCTCTTTCCGAAGGGTCTGCTTCGGCAGCCGGTGAGCCTGATGACCTTAAGTCATCCGCCCATGATGTGCAAAAGGTTGATGCGTAAGCTTCGGCCTACAATATTATGGGGCCCGGGTAAGTCTCACGATAGGTACCGGGTATGTAGTCAGGGGGCTTCGGCTCTCATGACAAATATTGAATTGAATTGAATTGAAAGTATCAGATAGGTAAAACCCTTTTGTGATATGCAGGATTTTAACCAAGGACCTTGGGACCAAAGCCCCGCTACCACTAGGCCACCCACTCTCATAACAAACTTTATTAAAATATACTAACAGGATAGTGGCCGCTCTGTTTGCCAGAGTTGAAGCGATGCAGGGTCTGGAGTATTTTGATGGTATCCCCCTTCTTTCCTCGTGTTAGCAGGAACTTGGGGCTCTCCGGAGTTAGGTAGAAGAGTCCGGCACAGCAAAGACTGGGAAAACCACACAAGAGGAAGAATAATCTCCAGGGGGTGAACGTGACCAGTCCTAAGTCCACAGACCATTTGGTGCTTAACGTCAACCATCCCACCACTGGAACAAGACAGAATAATAAGAGTACAAGCAGTGACGTAGCCAGGATTTCAAAATAGGGGGGGGGTCGACCAACCAGGGATCAGGTAAAAGGGGGGTCCATGAAATTTTTTATAGGCTCCAAAACCTTCTTTATAGCTCCCTTAGCATTGAAAATAATTAACCCCGTCAATACAGTATGATTATATAATTTTACATTTAATATAACAAAAAAATATTATATTTAAGACCAGAAGGGGGGGGGTCCGGACCCCCAGGACTCCAATAAAAGGGAGTGCAATTAAAAAAGGGAGGTTTTTGGATACAGTTATAGAAATTAAAAATCTTTTAAATCCGTGTTAAATAGTCCAAAGATCATTCCGTTCAATCAACTTACACGTTTCGTTGTGAAGACGACATTTTCAGAGTTCTGCTACCAACTCCATGTTCCACTGGACCAATATTATCATGATAGCGTTATCTAAATGTTCTGTTGTGTATTTCATTATTGTGTGTTTGACAAAACTTTGAAAATGTCTTCACAACAAAATTAAGCTGACACAACTGAATAATCATTGGACTATTTAACGGAGGTAGTCCAAGGGCCAGAAACATGAATTTGAATACAAAGGAATATCTCTAAGAATACAACGAATGGCGTTTAGTACTGTGATAATTGATAGAAAAATGTGAAAAGCTAATATTGATTCTCTCTCTTATTTCATTATCTGTTCTTTATGCCAACGACAAGTTTTGCCTACTTACATGAGGTGTACAGGAGCGCCATGGTGCTAAGGGAAGTTGTGATGAGCATTGCTTGAGTTCGTCTCTTGCTAGGAACATACTCCCCCAGGAATGGAAAAGTGGCTATCATGCAAGGGCAGGTCCTGGAAATAGTTAAATAGTTTTATTTTCTCCACACAACACAGTAAACAGCTGGTTTCTGAACTCTTTGTAAACCAGACGTTTGGTAAAATTAGTTGGAGGGGCGTGTGGTAAATTTACAGTTTTTTTTCCAAAAAGGTATCATATAAGTTTCTGCAAAATGCTCTAAAGGTAAGCAACACAATAAATAATATTGTATACTGTTAATACTGTTCAATTAAATGGCGACCATACATAGTAGGTATTTTAAGCCAAGTATGAATGGAGATGAGTATAGGATGAGTGGCGCGATCTTGTAGTCTTGTTAGTGACTAAGGCCAACATTCCTTAGACACAGCTGTTAATTAATAGCCCATACAGCTAATGGCAACTACGGGACCTACAGTTTATAGTGGAATCTGAACCACATTTTTCCTTGGTATATACGAATTGGTCTAATTATCAGGATAGTACTGCAGATAGTCGTAGTACTCACTCGTGCGGACGTTAATCCACACCAGGGAGAATATACGCATATATATAGGTTTGGATAGGCACATTGCACATTCACAACACATACTGAAGAGGTTTAAATCATTAACGCTTTATACAAGTATTCTGCTAAAATGCTGCACAATAGTGTAGATTAAACTGTAAGTAATTGTAATTGCATTGTAATTTTATTTGCAATGTCACCTGTTTTGTAGCTATGCTATGTGTGGTGTTATTAATTAACCATATGTTTAATGTTTACAAGACCAGATGAACTGATTATTTATTGTTATTATTTACCTTTTGTTTTGAGATGAGTTATTGAAATTACTAGATGAAATACTGTTCCAAAAATGTTGATTTTGTAAATAGTTTCTTCATATGGTATCAGGTAGAAATAAATATGGGAAGCAGAAATAAAAGAACTCTAGCCTGTCACTTAAATGTAATCCTCATGTTGGTTTATTGGTTTCAAGATTCCAAATGTTTTCAAACTACCATCCTCTCAGTGATAACAAATATTTTTATTAATTCTTTTCGCCTATTGGGTCTGATTATGATTAGAGTGTCCAATCAAAATCGATCACCACTTACCATCTTTCATATGTATTTACTGTGTTGTGAGTCAACAGTATAGTGTAAATATATTATTAGTAGTGTTATTAGAGCTATATCTTTTTTAAACTCAAAATTAAACATTGACAAAGAATAAAAAAAAGTTGAATCCAAAAATATTGATTACCTTGACAGGTTCATGGTTTACACACGTTTCTGACAAGTTTGTAACCATACATTTATCTAACCTTATCTTATTTACCCAACTTACATAACTCCAGACAAAACTTTAAATGTGAAGAATATCCAGAAATTGGGAGAAAGGGATCCCAGAATATAGGTGAATACATTCAAAGATAACCCTCGAAGTAGGATGTATCTACGGCCCATAGTGTCAGCAATGAACCCTGATAGGTGGGATGTAGCAATGATTCCTGAAAAACAATGAATAGATAGATGGGAAGTAGCAATGATTCCTGTAAAACAATCTCTAGATAGATGTGGGAGCAATGATTCCTGTAAACAAATCAATAGTTAAATGTGTACTATAATGCAAAATCGTACATTTTAGAACCCAAGAGAAATGTTTACGTATGAGCCACAAGCAAGTGTGCAGCAAGGGTATTTTTAACCTTGCATTTGCCCGTCCATAGAGGCCTGTGTGGAACATATTCAGCAAAGCAAGGGGTGAGCCGGTACAATACAGAGGTGAACTGGTAAAAAGTAGTGGTAGGTACCAGAGGATTCAAACCCACAACCTCGCTGCCTTGAGCCAGAAGTCCGTGACACTACGGACTGGAGCCACCAAACCTTGTGCACAAACTACAAATATAATATTTTCTTACAGTTACCGTAAAACATATTTTCTTACAGTTTTCTAAGTTCCCCACTTACTCACCAAAAAGAAAGTTGATGGTAGCATTTGTATTTATAATCGTTTCATTTTGAGGTAAGTTTAATTTAATGTTCTTAGCTATTTCCGTCAACTATTCTACTGTTTTTCTATGATCACGTATTCTCGATATTTTCACCCATTTTACAGAATTATAAATGCTTTATGCCAATCAACCGTTTATAGGTTACAACAGTTAAATATTCAGTTGTCATAATACATTTTTAGTTAGACAATTTAATACGTCCAAAAACAAGCAGTGCAATAGTTGATCCTTTTACAACCACTGTCGCTTATTTTTACGAGACTTTGCATCATATCCATATTGAAACAATTAGTAAAATGAGTATCAATTTGCATACCTAAGAAGTACGCAGAGCTGAGAAGACCCTTATCTTGAGAAGTCAGTTGAAGATCACATTCAGCAGCTGGCAAAAGAAACGAGACGTCAACGGAACTCAGCAAGGATGTGCAGATTGTTAAGCCCGACAAGAATATGATGTACATGCTGAATTTGCCATAACCTGTGGACAAGCAAAATTATCACTATAGGATTAAAATAGATTTAACTCTAAAATTAGGATATGAAGTGAAGTAGATTTGTTTGAAAAAAGTCAAAGGTTAGTGAATTTAAATTGACCAGAACTTAAAAGTAAGTACTTTTTAAAGATCGAAGACTTTAATTCAATCAAAGTTTTACTAAATGGTTAACGATTCTTAAGATAGCCAATTAATTTATCCTAAGTTAGCTGTTCAATGTAACATATCATGCACATTTTAATGAATAAAGATGTTTTAATATTGAATATTGAATTGGTCAGCTGATTTCATTTCAACACTTCTTTATTCATAAACATAGTTTATACAAGAACAGTGTCAATGGCATGATTATAAATATATAAACACGTATAAAGACAAATATAAACAAATATACTTCCAGTCAGGTTATCCAATTAATGAAATTATATTCTACAATTATGAACATGTTAAAAGTCAGCAATGGCTTACATCACATTTAAACAATTTACGATAGCCAATGACCTGATCTTATTCAGTAATAAAGCTATATTTTGATTGGTTATAATCATTCTTTAATTACTTTTACATTATAATTAGTATACTGGTGCATCAGTTTAGCAATTAATCAATCTAAATCTATTTCAGAAGTATGCTGCCATCTGTAACTCATTAACTTCAAACTCACAATCTACACAATGCAAAAAAAACTCGACCCATGTAACATTCTAAATGATCAGACTTCTTTCCAGTCAAATAATATATTTGATACATTTATTTCCTAATCAAAGAAGTATTAAATAAGAAGAATAAAACAAACTGAAATACAGGTGGCACTGGAGAGAGGAAGAAACATTATGAATGATTCAGTCAGTGGCAGTGATAAGACAGTGCTGGCCAGCCTGAACATTTTTAATCAGTTTTATCAATTTTTATTCCATTTTCAACTATTTTATCAACATGACAAGTTTCAATTATTGTGATTGCGATAGTTTAAAATGTTTAAGAATCTTTTGACATACCACAATGTATTGATAATGATGATGTGGTTGCATACAGAATGACTTGATGAAGTTCTAAGGAAACTAGTCATCATACCAACAACTGTAGTTGGATGAGGTAATTATTTTATTTTATCATTAACTTTCTAATATATAGTTATGGAGTAACTGTCTAAAAAAAACAATAAAAACATTCAACTTAAAACCAAAAATGGTAAGATTTTCTCGCTATGAGTTGATTAAAATGATTTGTAATAGAGTAAACTCACCAGCGATTTCCATGGCCTGGTCAAAGTCGACATTTTCCCACTTGTCTGAAAACATTTAAACTTGAAAAGTCATACTGATTATAAATTTAAAAAAGGATACTTTCTTTTATATGAGGGTGTGCTCAGACATTCTAGAAAGATTTGCAAAATATAGTTTATTTATTTACTAAGTTACAAAACTCCAAAGTTAAGTTAATGCTGATATAGCAGCTAAAGGGGAGTCATGTATAATATAGTAGTTTACGCAAAGCGCAAAGTTAACAACACAAGTAGAAATTTAAGGTACCCGAGTTGCTTACACTACTTTACCTACGACCGTTTTTTATTTACTAACAATCACAGACAAATTAGTCTGTTACCCGTGTTGTTAAGTAAAAAAACTATTCTGTTAAGTAAGTTAACACTTTTAAGTGAACCCTTTTCTAAGAACTGGACTGAAACGGCTAGTTTTTAAAAACGGTCCTAGGTAGAATAAGTATCCTCATATTACTTTTAACAATATTATGATTCTTTTTCATAAATCGAGTAATACAAATTATTTTCAAGATTAGATTTTCAGATGATTAATTAAGGAATACTCTTAAATGAAATAAGATTGTTAAAGAATTATATTGACTAAAAGAAACATCGAACTTAAGTTTTGTTGTGGGAATTTGAAGCTAATGATTTTGACTTTAAGGGAAGAAAGAGAATATCTTTGGGAGGATCAAAGACCCCAAATGTTTATCTTTTGTTAAATAGTAAGACCCATTGTTTTGAGAAATTTTTATGAATTTTATTTTGCATACATGTTTTTTTAAAGATTTTTTTCATATTCTTTCATTTATTAATTTTTACTTGATTGCACCCTTTCTTAAACTTGGGCTAAAATTAACACATACTAACAACCGTTTCCTACAATATTCCCTTGATTTTCTTCAAGAAAACATTATTGATGGATGCTTAAATACTTTTGTGGTTGGAAATTTACAGATACAACAATAATGAAGTATATAAAAATGAAAAGTTAAATTATGGCGTATAAGTTGTTTTATTAAAAACAATGTATTTTTTTTTTTAATCGGTTTAATGATTTTGAAAGCTGTTCAATTGAATTAGAACACAGAGAAGTATGGTGCAGAGGAAACATTCAATGGTACACCCAAGTGGTGTCTAGCAATAGTCGCTGGCGTCTAGATAAAGTCCAACACTGCCCCCCTCACCCTCATGTACTACAACACGGTGTAAGAAGACCCTGTGCTCTGTGCGATAGTAATTTCCGCACTTTGCTCTCCCTTGCTCGTCACAAGTATATTTCCACCACAACATACCAGAGCTGAAAGCACACGGTCGTCCCATAAGCGTGACCCTGTACTTCTTCGTAGTTTTACTACAGTAAACTTTCAATAATTTGACACTCGATAGTTCGACACTCTTTGTAGTTTGACACAGGCTGAGGCTAAACGTCTAAACATAGCAATCAAAATTTTGTTTTGACACGTACGAGTTCTTTCCAGTTATCAGAGTGAAAAACAATCGAAGATCACAATCGTATATTACGTTACTAGTCCTGAAAATAAGTGTTCACCGGACAAGTGTGGTCGTTCTCGTGTGAGACAAAGTTGAGTACGGGATTACCATACGAGTCCGGTAGACACATTTTGGTCGAGTTACGTACAATAGTTTACGCCATACTACTAAATCTGTACAAATCCTTATCTATTACCACCAACTAAAGGACTAAAAATCACTAACCTCTAACCTAAGAGAGGTTATGTTTTTGTTTATAACCACTCATTGCCACCCAAGTCCCAAATACAGTATAATCAGCTGATTGGTGTCCGGTAAAACTCATTACAGTATAGTAGTACGTAATGAAACCCCATTTGATTAAGCTGGTGGCAAACAGCTGTCTAAATACTTGTGTGGGAAGTTCGTCAAAATAGTGTAGTGTGGTGTAAAATACATTTCCATAGTTCGACATCCCTAAGTCAACAAAGTGTCAAACTACAGTATCGAGGTTCTAATGTATTTGAATAGAATGAATTTTCATTTTTACAGAAAAAACACTTTTTCACTTAATGAAATGATATTGTGCAATTCCCAAACTGTCAATTAATTTCAGGTATCTTGTTTGAAAAACTTAAAAAAAGCCAATTTTTATGAAGCACTCTTCTACCAACAGTCACAAATTTTAGATTATATATCATTTTAGCTTCATGATGGTTTTAGTTTAAAGGGATTTGAACCAACCAAAGTCCTCATACACTGTTTTTGATAGGAACATGAATACTATATTTATATATTTTATTGATAAATGATGCAAAAATATAAACCTTCTTTCACGTATCTATTTACATACAAAACAATTGATTAAAATAAAAGTATAGACACCCAAAAACATTTATTTCAAATCTTCCAAGATTTTTGTATGTTATAGATATCAGAATATAAATGTAAAACAACTCAATATTACGATTATAACCACTGACTAATACACAGAATAGACTTCCCATGTAATGTAAACATTTGAAGCCAAAAAAGTGGTGCAATCTGTGGTCACCAACTAATGACAATATTCTGTGTCAAGTGATAAATCAATCAGCTATTTGCTATGATACTGCACTGATTTTAATGAATATTTAACCCAGTCTTATGACATGGTCCTGAACTTCATCTATTTTCTTGGCTTCAAATTTTTACATTGCATGGGAAGACTATTCTGTGTATAGTCAATGATATCACTAACTACCATAAAAACAAAATAAGGTTATTTTTTTAACTTTTTCACCTATCATAATTATTTAAAAGTTAAAAACTTACCTTTCTTTTCTGTCATGTTGAGAGCAAAGAACCTCAACACGGAAGACTTGTTATCTCGGTCATGTTTATAAGTTGGGGTTTAGTGATATAACCTACCATAAACCAGACTGAGAGTTAAATAAGCACAAGTTAAATTTGCTTAGTGGGAACGAAATATAACTAAAACTACAAGGCTGTGAGTATAGTGTGCTCTATCTTCTTCTGGTAATGTTGTATTTAGACTTGTTCACTTAAAATCTTGGAACGTATTGAAAAATTGTAAAATCCCTTTAGAAGTATTAATGAAGAGGAGGAAACCCAATATTGTCTTCCTTGACATTTGTTTTGAATTTTAATAATGTTTAGTGAACCAAAATATAATAGCATGGTTAATATATTTTTTAAAGCATAGTATAAATTATTTGCATATCAATTTTTATAATTTTACACATTTATTTCATTTTCGTTTGCCTTAGTTTTCAAAATAACATTTGGTGCAAAGCACTATTTTAAGATCTATAGAACAAAAACATAACAGTAGCAGTATAACAGTATACAAGTACTTACATCAGATTTTTGCATATACGACAATTAGAACACAACGTGGGCATGTCTGCAAAGAAGACCTCACCAACGCAAACTTACCATCACCTGATCACCAATTAGTTTGAAAAAGTCATTTATGTTTATATTTTACACATTGTTGTAATCATCAATCCGTTTTAAGACAGTCTATTTTCTTAAAATCTGTTCGTTTGTTGTATCCTAACGGGAAATTCTGGAAGATGAGAAGGAAGGAATTATCTGTTGATTGACAGAGGCAGGGTATTGTTAATTGGAGGGTGCGAGAGCGGTTAGATTGTTAGGCTAAATTAATATAGTACAGTTAAAAGTGGTGACTATTGTACAAGAAACAAAAAGGTTTTGAGATGCAGGATGAATCAAAATGAGCCATCAGGATATCAAGATGAGCCTTGGACAACAGTTCAGCAACTGTCTGTATCAGAGACGAGGCACCTCTGCCGTGGAAGGTAGCACACAGCCCCGAGGTGTTGGAGGAATCTGGCTGGTTGGAAACTTGTTGTTACAGTATTAGCTTTTGCTATGAGGATGTTTTCCTTTTGGAGGTAGCATGTTTGGTTTTCCAGGATAGGGGTGTGAAAAGGTTTATTTATATTAGGTCCAGCCAGGACATTTTAGGGATATTAGGGATATTTTCAAGATGGTTTGTGATACTGATATACATATAACTATTAGAATATTGGGGGAGCAAGATGGTCTAAAATGAAGTGTCTAATGGTTAGAGTACTTTGATGCTGAGGTCCCGGGTTCAAATCCCGTCATGTCATATCACCATTTTTTTACCTAGGACACTATAGGCACAAGCCCGGTATTGTTTTTCATATTATTTCAGGCTAGACCTAGGGGATGCAGCATCATCACTTGGATAAAATCCATTGGTGATTTGGCAGGATTTGAACCGAGGACCTGTTGGACCAAAGTCCCGCGCTCTAACCACTAGACCAGCTTGCTCCCAATGGATTTTATTTAAGTGAAGTTGTCACATCAACAATTGAATTGGTGGATACCTGATGATAGTTGGCGTTTGAAGCATTACGACTTTACATCTTTTCTTTCAATCCTTGAACCCCATTGGTCCGTTATTTTACCACACTAGTGCTCTTAAGTAAGTAAAAAATTCAGTAATTTGAATCTTTCTGATTATAAAAATTGAATTGAAAAGGCTATTTTAAAAATCGGTCATAGGTAATAGTTGTTTACGCAAAGGTAGTGTTAATGACACGAGTAGAAATTAAAGGTACAATCCTTGGCAAGAGACTTAAAAACTTCTACAAGTGATGTTAATACTATTTATGCGAGTTGCGTACCTACACTACTTTACCAACGACAGTTTATTAATTAATAACAATCATTATTCATAACTTTTAAGAGAGTTTATTTTGTCTTTAACCTCTCATTGCCACTGACAGTGATGCAACATATCATTGTACCGCCAAACACTAATCACACCACTCATTAACAATTAAATTGGTCTTAACAGTTGATTGGTTGAAGTTTTAATCATTACAATTTTACTTCTTCTCTGTCAATCCTTGAACCTCATTGGTCTGAAAACTATGATGTTATGTAAGTAAACAATATGCTGTTGAGTGAAACTTTTTAATTCTAAGAACTGAACTGAAATAGGTCGTAGGTAAAACACATGAGGAAATTTTATGAAGGAGGGTAAAGGAGGGCTTGGGTGATTCGGTGGCTCAGTTGGTAGCGTCACGGACTTCGGGCCCAAGGCGGTGATGTTGTGGGTTTGAATCCTGGTCACTACCACTAAAATTTATCAGTACAGTTCACCTTCGTACTGTACCGGCTCACCCCTTGCTTTGCTGGATACATTCCACGCACAGATCTGTAGTCTATGTGGACGGGCAAATGCAAGGTTAAAAGAGGTCGCTAACCTCTTTAAAAAAAAGATCAAAACTTTGTAAATTTTTAGCTTGAATTTCCATGTCAGCCCCAGAATCTTCTGGTCAAATCTCGGGCTGATAATATTTTGATGTTGTTGGACAATTGGTACCTTCTCAAATCTGCACCAGCCTAGGTTTTCTACACTTGAATAGTAGTATGTATATATTTTGGCCTAAATCTAAACCCTCGGGCTAGAATAAGGCCGAAGTATCCCCTGCTTCTCTTACGATGTTACTAAAGAGGTTTTCAGGGTACAGATTCAAGTTAGTTCACTATCTAACTGCTTCTTTACCTTTTTATTGAGATTAATAACACAATTTAAAAGTAACTTGATTTGCAGGTTTGGTATTTAGCATTATACTATCAACATAATGAACGTTTCACCACATTAAATAAAATACTATTGATAGACAGTTGCTAGAAGAAAATCATTTCCTCCAACTTGGTCCATAATGTTTGAGCTATAGTTCAGTAAAAATTGTTGACAAAGTAAATATTGTACTGCACCTCACATTTTATGTTTAAATTCTTTACTTTTTGTCACTGTCACTAAACCATCAATAAAGAGTGCTAAACTGATTAAAAAGATTATTTCTCAAATTTCTCCTGATTTATTAACTAAATAACACTGAGTTCTGGTAAGATAATAAACATTTATTTTGTTATTTTTGTATTATCTTCAGTAATCCAGGTAATGAGAAATATGCAGACATTTTTCTAACATAAAATGTTAACTGTACTTACATGAAACAATGTTTAAGCTAGGTTAATGAAGGGTGTTGTTAATAAATTGTCAACAATTTGAAAACATAAAATGTATATCAAATGAAAAATGATTACAAAAGTTCAACAAGATAATTTATAATGTAATATAAACTATTACATAGGCCTAAGTTAAATTAATCATACATGTTGCTAATTTTTATCATAAAATAATGAAAAAACACTATTATTATTGAAGTCATAATCAGCTGAAGACTACAGAATTTTAAGTTGCATTTCTGTGTATTAATATATAGAAAATTTTATTGTTTACAGTATAGAAGTGTTCCTATTTAATCAACTTTAAATCCATTCTAAGCAAATATGACAATGCTTGCTTTCCAATTTTATAACCAAAGAGAATATTGTTTACTATAACATTTATTGTAAAACTAAAGATGAATATTTAGCCATCAGCAGAATAAAATGTTATCAAAACTAAACAAACATCGAAACAGGATTAACAATGGAATCATGACTCTATTAGCTATTTAAAGATAACAAAAAATAAACTTTTGAATAAACTATTTAAATGTAAAGCAAATGCACTTGTAACATCAATTTTACAAACAAAAACATCAACCCTATACATAATTAACACAGGTTTACTTCTGCTTTTGGTGCTTGGAGCCCCCCTTCCCTCGCTTCACAGAGTGATTTTTTTACTCCAAGTTGTGTTTCTTTGGCATCAGTTTGCGTTTCTTTGCTGTCACTTCATTTGTCTTTTGTGTCACTTTGATTTTCTTTTGTGTTGCTTTGGTTTTATTTTGTGTCGCTTCAGGATTCTTTTGTGTTGCTTTGGTTTTATTTTGTGTTGCTTCAGGATTCTTTTGTGTCGCTTCAGGATTCTTTTGTGTTGCTTTGGTTTTCTTTTGTGTCGCTTCAGGATTCTTTTGTGTTGCTTTGGTTTTCTTTTGTGTCGCTTCAGGATTCTTTTGTGTTGCTTTGGTTTTCTTTTGTGTCGCTTCAGGATTCTTTTGTGTCGCTTCAGGATTTTTTTGTGTTGCTTTGGTTTTCTTTTGTGTCGCTTCAGGATTCTTTTGTGTCACTTCAGGATTCTTTTGTGTTGCTTTGGTTTTATTTTGTGTCGCTTCAGGATTCTTTTGTGTCGCTTCAGGATTCTTTTGTGTTGCTTTGGTTTTCTTTTGTGTCGCTTCAGGATTCTTTTGTGTCGCTTCAGGATTTTTTTGTGTTGCTTTGGTTTTCTTTTGTGTCGCTTCAGGATTCTTTGGTGTTGCTTTGGTTTTCTTTTGTGTCGCTTCAGGATTCTTTTGTGTTGCTTTGGTTTTATTTTGTGTCGCTTCAGGATTCTTTTGTGTCGCTTCAGGATTCTTTTGTGTTGCTTTGGTTTTCTTTTGTGTCGCTTCAGGATTCTTTGGTGTTGCTTTGGTTTGCTTTTGTGTCGCTTCAGGATTCTTTGGTGTTGCTTTGGTTTTCTTTTGTGTCGCTTCAGGATTCATTGGTGTTGCTTTGGTTTTCTTTTGTGACGCTTCAGGAATCTTTGGTGTTGCTTTGGTTTTCTTTTGTGTCGCTTCAGGATTCTTTGACGATGCTTTGGTTTTCTTTTGTGTCGCTTCAGGTTTCTTTTGTGTTGCTTCGGGTTTCTTTGCTGTCTGTTTGACAACTGATGGACGAGGTTGTGTGATCCCTGGCTTTTTCTGAAGATTCAAATTTTGTTCAATCAAATCAGCCAACTTTCCTTGTTCAGCCAACATCGATAGAAAAGTACATATAAACACATCATAGTTGTGTGTTCGCCTGGAGTCATCTACTTTATATCTCTCCCTTTTCTCGTTTTCATCTTTTAAATGACCCTCACAAATCCTTATTTCCTCTTCAAAATTTTCTAGTAAAGCTAGCAAATCTTTTGGTGCAAATGTGTGATGAGCAGTTTCAATTTTGTTACAACTTTCATCTGATTGCAGTTTGTGACTCAAAGCTAAAGAGCTAATTTCCATACCAGATACTTTCTCACTCAATGTTTTCTCCCAGTTTTTAGGTAATATTCCTACTTTCAGACAGACTTTGCAAATTCCGAGTGAATCTTGATTGGATCTAGTTGGAGAATCCACGTTTTCTTTACTAGCAGCCGTAGCAACTCTGATGACGACAATCTTTTTGAAATCCATTGCATTGTTGGGACTGCTCTGTCCAGGCTTCCAGCTCCAAGATTGGGTGGTAGAGTTGAATGCCGAACCCACTACTGAAGAAGGGTCTGTGCTTGAAGTGCTTGGGACAGGTGATGTATGGATTGCCAGAGGTGTGGAATCTGGTATCTTTTCTCCTGTTTTAGAGGTTTCTGGTATCTGGAATTTTATTTGTTCCTTTTCTTCCATAGTTACAATGAGTGATATTTTGGAGAGATTGTGCCTTTCTAGACATTCACACCAATTAGCAGGAGAAGCTTTCAAGTTTTCATCGGTATCCTCAGATTTTTCTGCTTTCTCTTCTTTATGCTCAGTTAAATGCTGCTTTCTTGCAATTTTATTGGGTGTACCCGGAGCAAGAACATCTTCTATTGATGCAAGACTATCAATTTTCGATTTCTTCCTTTTGCTTCCAAGAGAAACTTTTGTCTCATCTGATTTTCCTTTTGATTCCTTTTCTAATTGTACAGCCAGGTCGGGATGATTGAGCTTTACCAATTGCTGAAGAGCTTCCAAGAGGATTAGTCTATTAGCATTTAACATATTCAGCTTAGAAGAGATAGCGATTCGCTGGTCTGGAACCATAGCCATCAAGTTGAAACATATATCACCCCCAGCAATACCTATACGATCAGCAATCACTCTTTGAAACTTATCCGTCCAATTTTCACCCTCATTCCACGAACCGTGATCCATTGGATATGGCTTGAGACCATCCAACTCAAACAGTCTTCCATTGATAGGTACGTAGCTGATAAAATGATAGGCCTCCGCAGTGAACCTGAAAAAAATCATTACGATAATACATCTGGAAAATCTTAAATCATTTTGGTGTTGGATGGCTGAAGACTTATTATTTAGACAGTCCGGCTTATCCTAGAAACTTTAATATTTTTCTTAAAAATTGCACGTACCAGCTATTTGATAAAACATTGAAATCACTCTCTGAATAAATGTTTTGAAGCGTAACACAGCAAAACAACAAGGTGAAGTATTAAAGCAAAGCAACAACTATTCAGACTAACCTAACTTTCTGGTGTATTAAAATCAACATTTTGCAAAGTAATAAATGCTTAAGCAGCTCAGCATAAATTCTGCACAGTTGCACAGAAAGTGCCTCCTTGTCGTTCACACGGGGCGAGTTAAAGTTTAAAAGCTTCACGCCGGTTTTTTACACACAGCTCGTAAACTATCTCAGTCTGGACAACGTACTCGCTCAAAAGCTTGGTACATAAAAAAACCATGGGAAAAAAATAGTGACAGCTATTTTACACGCCTAATTGCCAGCGTTTGAGCGAGCTAGTGTGTAAGTAGCCCAGTGTGAACACACTATGTTGTACTTGTGCACATGTTATTCGAAGATGTTGGAGGAGTATGTTTCTACCGGGAGTTTAAGTTGTAGCAAAAGTGATTAAACGTGAATCAATTACATCTTTCTTTACAGAGTTCAGTCATGAAGACATCTTTCTTTCAGGGACTTTATTTTAGACTTCAAGGGTTTTTCATCCATTTTCCCTAACAATGATTTTCCTCCAATTCAGCCATCAGCTGTTAAAACCATATACCCCTCAACGATTTGTGTGCATAGTTCTTATCCTTGATGCTACAAAAGTCCGAGAACTTATGTATACTTGTATGTCTTTGTAGAAACAACAATATGTTTGCCACAGTCCACTTCCTTTTGAATGTACGGGAACACCAACACGATCAGCAAGATTTCACAATTAACTATACAATAAACTGTCACCAAGTGGTTTAGAAGCCAGCTACTGAGCGAGTGGAAAAAGCATTGTGTGAAAGACTACAAGAGCACTTGCAGGCCTCTTATACGCTGGCATGTAGCTTGTAAACTCACTCACTGTACTAATATACAAATGATGTGTAGGCTTACTATTAATAACAGAAAAGCAGCGAGTAATCACTACTCCTTTAACCCAGAGCGCTATCGCGATCAATGCTGATTGTTTAAGATAGTATTGTGTTTAGTGTTTTTACGTTTAGGTTCCACTACAAGATTTAATAATATTTCAAGCAACTATAGTAATAAAATTAAATTGTTTTTCAGTCATTCAAGTTTTACTGTAAATCATTCACTGTCTAATACTGCCTAATATTTGTTATTGAAATGAAATGAAATAATATTTTATTTCCCATAAACTATATACATATAAGTAGATTGCATTTTTTTAAATTAAATATAATACAGCAAACAGTAATAACTAGATAACAAAACAAAAATTATATTCTGTAGAAATAAAGCGGAAAAAGTGCAAAAAAATACCTTCTATAGGCCTAACAAAGGAAAAAGTCTACATAGGCAGGGCCTGTGTGTAGACTCGAGTTGCGAAAAGGTTAATTTAGATGGGAGGTAAAAAAATGTAAAGGAAAACAAAAAAATAATTCGTATAAATTTAAATTTAAAAAATTGTTCTTGCTTAAAACTGAATTTTTTGTGTTTTGGAATTAAATTGGCGATAAAAATCTCTTTATGCAAACTGAAGTAATTTATAACATCTGGTGAAGATTGAAGATTGAAGAGGAGAGATGGAGTGTGGTGTATTAGTCAGTCAGTGAAGGTGGTGTATCATTGATTGTGTAGTGAAGTGTAGGGTCAACGGTCAGGTCCGCCCAACGCAATAATGGCCTCGGTATCCTCCGTACTCAGTCCTACAAGCCACCCAACAACATGCTTCTTAAATAGAGAGAGATAGAGGGTGAAATTAGAATGTTGACATTTTTGTATCTGTTACACATGTTACGATAAATGATTTGGGTTAAGTGAAAGCAATTCGTATGTGAAAATGATTTTAAAGTTTTTGGAACATTTATACCAAACATTTTGAGAAAAGCGCGTATTGTGGGGATGAGTAATTTTTATAAAAATATTATCAAAGTTTTTGTACATGTGAACTAAAATAAATAAAAAAAAACAGCCTGACTGTCAAAACTCCTTTTTTACTTTTATGGCGCATTTCAGCATTTTGGAGATTTGGTCATTCGATACGTTATCGTGACCAAACCGCTTGTGTTGGAAGCGACAACTCATATTTAAATGTCCTGTCACACTTTCCATAACATCTTCAAATAGGTATCTTTAAACAAATATTGTTAAATTTAGGGTATATTTCAATTCATGTGCAGTGGACTTTCCGTAATTAAACAGTAACCCGGCTTGATGGTCTACAGTATAATAAATAAATTGAAACATTAGGTCTGCTTGAATTATTTAACCAACTTTGTTAGTGACGTTAGAGACCAATGATACATTCAGTGTACAAGTCAAGTCAAGTCAAAAAATTCTTTATTCCTTATAGTGTCACATTACATGAACTTGAATAGTCATAAACTAAATTCAAAATTGCTTACAGCTAATTAAATACATAAAAAGAGTACTTAGATTAGTTTATTTTTACTTTAACAAGAACCGTAATTGAACGATTACAGTATTTGGAATTCAAATTAAGCTAACTGTTTTTTACTAATACTGAAGAAGTCTGCTTCTGCGTAGTAGTGAACTCTTATAAAAAAGACATTTAAGCGTTGCTTCAATTTATTAAATTGTGTTTGTTTTCGGGATGTGAGCTGATATCTTTTCGGGATGTGAGCTGGTATAAACAGGAGAAATTTTAGCCCTACCTATGTAAGCTGTCTCTTCAGTATAAAATTCTAGATTATGCCGAGGTAGCTTAATTTGTAATCTGGTGTTCTGTTAAAGTGGATGATAGTGGATCTATTTTGAATATAAATTATTGTTTAATAAATGTAAAGACTATGAACTGGTAATATTTATAATTCACGAAAGATGCTCTTGACTTGTGGCTCTTTCTGATAGCTTTTTTCTGCTTGATGAGTACTTTATCTAAATTATTTTTTGTTGTTGCTCCACATAGAACAATTCCATATGAAATATGTGAATGTATTAATGAGAAATAAAGAACTCTTAGAGTGTCTAAACTGCATATTCTGGACACCTGTCGCACAGCATGGATACCGGAAGTTACCTTTTTAACCACATCATTTTCCATGGCCCTTCCAAGATAGATGTTTATCGATAATTAGTCCAAGAAATTTTGTTTGCTTTACTTGGCTTATTCTTTCTGATTTTACACAAATGTTTGGTTCAAAATTTTGTCTGCGTTATTTAGTGGAAAATGATATATCATTTGATTTTTCTGTATTATTAAGCAGATTTTTTGGTCAAGGAATTCTTTAGCGAATAAAAGACTCTCCTAACCTTTTTCAGCCAAGATGCCGACATTCCATAAAAATCTGGGCTATTTGAGTTCTTTAATTTAGCGACATTGCGCAACTTTGGTCACTTTGCAATTTTTATAACGTGGAAGCTCATGGGATGTGCCTCAATAGTATTTTGTCCTCTCTTAGATAATTATGCCCAAGTCTGGGTCATTTGATTCTTTGGAAGCACTTAACATACTATACAAATGTATTGAACTGTTTGATATGTGTTTACTTAACATTGAGAATGAAAAAATGTTATTTTGTGGTAATCAAATTTTATTCGTCTTATTTTCTTTTTTTAATTTTAGAAATAGCTTTATACAAATTTTATTAATATTTACATAGGCATATAATTAATTTGGAAACTAGGATTAATATTATTTTTAAGACTGGTATGGAAATTTGACACTTATTTGAACATTGAATTCAAGAATGTCACAAATATGGCAAATATGTCATTTTTTATGTAATCTAAATTCAAATTGTAAATTTTAATTTATAAGTTCTTTACCTCTTTGTGAGTTTAAGCATTGAGTAAACGAGTGAAAATTTAAAAACGTACGTTTTCAGTAAAAGTACTTTGCAAATTTTTTCCCCTTTTTTCAAAACTTTAATTTTTTTTTTATTTCATTAATATTTGAAGTTTTATAAAATGTCCATGGTAACGCAATATCTTTGGTAGTTTCTTTTTAAAAGAGCATCTTTAGTGGAAAAACACAAAATCCTGTCACGACCATAACGGATGTTTAAATGAATATTAAAAATAGTTAATATTATTTTTATAACTATGTTTTGCTATAAACTAATTTACTTTTATGACCATTATACAATAAAAAGATCACTGAGCTTTTGGTATATTTGGTCTTTCTAGAAAAAAATAATAAAACTCAAAAAATTGAAAAAAGCTAATAAAATCTTTTTAAGTTTGTATAACTCCGAAAAAACTTACCTGAGACCCGAAAAATCGTTATGTTTGTATAGAGGCGTGCTTCTTTTGTGTATAAAACATTGAAATATGAGGATATTTTAATTTTTGAAATTTTTATAATAGAAATCATAAACGTTATGGTCAGGGACAAGCGGTACGGTCGTGAATTGTCTGGAATAATCTAAATCTTTCTAAACAATCCTTCAATTATCCTGTTAGTTATAATAAAAATATGTGTTTCAATTAAACTAAAATGTTCAATTTACAATTATATTTAAGTTATTGTCACGACCAAACACACTATAATCCATAAGGCTGGATTGGTCGTGAAAAAACCCGCGATGGTCGTGAAACTTTGGTCGTGAAATTACGTGTTATTTGGCTCTGTTCTGGCGGTAGCCCTGCACCTCATGTTCGAGGATACAAAGTGGACTTCTAGGTTAATCTAGCAATTGAAATATTTTATAAACAAAAATTAACACCATGTCTACTTCATCGAATGACTACGTACGGTCATGGACACACCAAAATTACAAAAAACACAATCTTTCCTTTATTAATCTTGTAATTCCTCCTTTCAACTCGAAACGACCTGTACTACAATCCTGACGTAC